TCGCTGAGGAAGAAGTTACTTGAAATGAGCCCAGGAACCTCTCATTTCCCGCTTGAACAATAATTTTGGGACATCCTATATAATCCAAATAATACCTACAAAAGAGACTACACGAATTAAACGCTATTTAAACGCGTTTGTTCTTGATAATGCTTGCTTTGTTCTTGATAATCAGAAAAATACAACGCATCGAGTAAAATCGTTCGAATGCGCTGTAAAGCAACAATCATTCTAATTTTATTTCAAAACTGCTATCGAATCATTAGATAAACTTTGAAATTTTCATTACGAAAGTTCAACTTCGAATAATTCTCGATCCGCCGGCCCTTCGCCAAAATGCGATTCGTAGTAAGGATAAATTAATAAGAAGCAAATTGACGCGCGATCGCTCGAAGCTGAAAATTTTCTTTTAAAACGGCAGGACGAAGAAAGTCGAGCGCGGTTCGTTAATGGGGACAGGTACAGTTACTTCAGTGTTTTCATTTAATTATGTGCAGTCGCAGCGTCGCAGCCGAATTAGATTTACGAAACAACGGTGTTCAGTGTACAATTATCCTTCAGCAGGCACGAAGAAATTTAATCAGGTCTCGCGACCGAAGGGAAGAACAACCGTAATGAGAGGAAACAATTGCAGCGTCCGTTTTCTTTTCTTCTCGAGTGTCGTACGTCTGGGCGTTAGAGCTCGCAGCCGCCTGTGAAACGCTTCTATAGATCGTATGCCGTATCCGCAATGCTTGCCGCTGAAAAAAAGAACTCTGTATACTATGTACGTGCTACAATAATCTTCTTCCTTTTTTTTTTATGTTTCGTTGTCTCTGTCTCTCTTCGATTCGTTTAATCGCGCCGTTCTCGGCAGCAACAGAACCATGCAAGACGTGCGAATTTACACACGATCGCAGTGGCGTAGCCTCTCTCTCTCTCTCTCTTGGGATCGTATTGATTTATCGCAGCCACGTCGCAATACAGTGCTCGGCCGAAACGATGCTCCTCCGCATCAAAGGGCATCGATCGCGGGAAATTTCGCGACCACCCGTTGTATAACCGCTCGTTCGTTCGCTCGCTCGCTCGCTCGGCCACCGCAAATTCGATCGGCCCGCGATGTTTTTCGGAAATGGATTTTTCTACTCCGCGGACCGCGTTCACGGCGAACGCGATATCCACCGGATACGTTGTTTTTCAAGCTGCCTCGGAGCTACAGGGCGAATCAAACGTCGTTGTCCGTCGAAATGTTTCGGAATTTTTGTGCACGAACGAATGGATGCGAAACAGAAATTTCTCTGAATTTGAATAGTTTCAATTGAATGGCGGACTTTTATAGATTTATAGCGCGAGTTTATGAAATATGTTTATTAACGGTTGTCTTTATTACGAGGAATTTTTTGGCCTGTGTAACTTTTTCCTTTGCGCGTATTTATATGAAATTATTAATTTAGAGACGAATATATGTAAACATTTTTGTACAGGCTTTTTACCATTTTTTGCAAGTAAAGGCGATTGTAGAATCCATACAAGTAGTTCTCGAAATTTGTTAGAAAATGTTACAATCATTCATATAATTGAGATATGGGGACAAATCTTTATATGAAAGATATAATATAATATAATATAATATTTCTCAATCTTTTTAGGACAAATATACATTGTTCCTTTCCGACTGACTATTAATGAAAGGAACCTTCTAAGCGTGACTTTTGCAATTATATTTTTATTATTTATCTTTCTTTAACCTATAATTTATTTCTATAATTTTACGCATCTAACGGGGAAGAATCAATGAATTTTGAACAAATCCGCTTTTTAAATAAAAATTCAATGTCTGCGAATGTCTGACAATAGGATTTCACAGATGGGTTATTTCAAATATATACACAAAATTAAAAAGAATTAAATTTTTTAAAAACGTATTAATACCTCTGCCGTGTGCACGACGTGTTATTCCGCTGAAAAATACAGGGTTAAATTATACGTAAATGTTAATATCACGTTACAAAACGAAATAAATAACTGTCTAACTCTTGTATCTTGTGATCAATGCAAACAATTCTTCTTATACGAAGCTACGCGTAAGAATGTTAAATAACAACACGACAAACATTTGGTTTTTTTTTCACGCGAAACACGAAATCATGGTCGCGGGGAACGCGGGGGTACGGCGATAGCGGACGTGTTAAGTGATAATATCCGCAAACCAGCGTTCGTTTAGTCTCCGTATCGCCCTGTACTTCGACGAGGCTCGCGTTTCCGAAACAATGGACGGCTTTTTGACACGCCGAGGCAATTTTTATCCTTGATTGATCTGAAACGAGCCTACTCGAGATCTATCTCTCTCTCTCTCTCTCTCTCTCACTCTCTATTCAACGTCTCGAGCGAAAAGAACGAACCAATCGACAACGGACGTGTCCTGCCGCATCGTGTGCTCCGCTCTGCCCAATAATGCTCGGCCTGAATATTCATCGACAGACACGTCTCGCTTGCGTAAATTAGATCTAGGTAGAGACTGTACATACGATACAACCTTAGTCATAGATCATTCATTAGGCGTAGGAAGTTCGTGTATGTGCATCCGAGTGGGAGAACGATCTTTCTTTCTTTTGATGTGAAACGCTTACTAGATAGATAGTCTTTGGGTACATAGATCTAGGCGTAACGATTGCAATCGAGTCGCTTCGGTCGTTAAACCATGAAAGAGAAAAGAGGAGGAAAAAAAAAGAAACCGCTGTACATATATATACATATATATACATATGTGTTGTGTACAGAACAAGAAGCTCCGTAAATTGATATTGACTGGCATGCACGCGGGAAGGGTGAATTCTCCTGATTGTTTTGTTTCTGTCGACGAGATAATGAATCTCTGGTTGCAAGGCGAATCGACGGGAACGCGCGTCTCGAAATTCCGTTGCGGCCTTTTTTAAAGATCCGAGTCTCGTCGATGTTTAAAAAAGGGAACGGAGTAGACACGGATATCGTTCCGCGGCCCTTTGTCTTACAACCACGGACGATTGTCGCGTTGCTCGATTCGGTGAACGGTCGCCGCGCTAGGACAGTGTGTCGGGGACCGCGACCAACAGAACGAAAAGAGAGCGAAACGAATGAAACGATACCGAGCGAAAAGAACCAGGTGGGCATACCTCGAATTTCTAATAATGACTCTCGAGAGAAATTCGGGTGAGAGGGAGCAGAAACGAGCAGGGATCACGTGGACCTCCACCAGGTTCGTATGTTCACGACCCGCTTTTAGCACCAATTCCGTACTGTACACACGTATATAGACCGGCTTCTATACGACTAGTCGCCGTAGCTGCTTTTCAGACTAGACGCGGAATAGATGTTCCCGATGCTTCCAAAGTAGGAAAAGAAAAAATGTGGGGCAACGTCGTACTATCGGCAAAGTACACGTATGTACGTGCAAAAACTGTGTGTGACGCCTATCGCCGTCTTTCTGTAACGCCGACGACGCGTGCCGCGCGAATTGTTTCGCGCGCGTTCCTCCTCGGCATTGTTTCTTTCTCCGTTTTTTCCCCTTTTTTCGCTCGCACCTTGTAACGCGGTAACGCCGGCGAAGCTCTCTCTCTCTCTCTCTCGGCGAGAGCGTGAATAATTAAACCAGCCCGCGGATCGGCCAACGAAAATACACGTTGAAACTCGGCGACCGAACGGGCCGCCGCGCCGCGTCGGACGCCGATCGATGTCACTGAAAGACGGCGATCGCCTCACTTTCCGATATACGCAAGACTCGCTCGCTCTCGGATTGATGGATCCCGCATTGAGAACCGTCGACGGTCACCGTTTCGTACGATTGTTCTACGAAAGTCGCCTGCCTTGAAGCTCGGGACGTTGTCTTGCGATGCACAACCGAACGCAACACGAACGATACGACGCATAGAGCTCATCTAGAAGCGGGTTATGAATAACCGGTGCACACATAGAACACGATACAAATGAATATTTCCAAGCCCGCTTATCAGGCGCGCGTGCATACAGGGTGGCCCGCTGGAAATACGCCACCCTCGATCGTCGCTCTGGCTGCTGCTCTTTGTTCCTGTTGCGCGCTTCAATGACGGACAATTAAGGGACTACGCTCGCAAACCGGGCGAACTTTCTCCCTCGAAAACTCTGGCACATTATGCTGGAATGTTTCCGAACTTCGTATCGTACATTATCGAACAATGTCTCTGGATAAATTTATTGAAAAAAAAACGGCACGATATATATAAAAGAGCCGAGCGCTTCATTCGCCTTCGCGTAATTTCACCGCGAGAAACGTTCGCGCCATTCTCGATTAATTAATTTCTGCTTCGAAAACTTCTTCTTCTTTTCGCTCTTTCACCGACAATTGTAACGCGTTCTTCGTTTTATATGGATTCTTTTCCTTTTCTTTTCTTTTTTTTTTCGTAATAGCGTTTCGAGTACGAACAACGATCGGTCGCACATTCGGCGCACGAGCTTGCACATTTTTCCGAGAAACGCGCGCGACTCTACTGTACTCGCGAGCAACACGAGCGATTGCCGCGGACGTTAATCGCTTTGACATCAATTTCGTACGGTATCGCGTGAACCATCTCGAATCGCTCCGCGTCAACAAACGGTTTGGCAACAGAAACGCAGCCGAAGTTATCACGGCGACCTGTTTCCAGCGGCGCCGCGCCGTGTATTTACATCACGGATACTCCATTCTTTTTTCTTCTTTTTTTTTTTGGTTCCGTCGGGGACGAACGAATTTTGGAAATATTTGTTTCACCCTTTTCCTCTCAGTCGCTCGGTAGATCCTCGTTGAATCACGGAGAGGCGAACACATGGACGACGATCATAGTGCGCGTATATTTTGTACATACATAATTCGATCTAAGGCACGTCTATACGGTAACGATGATTTATTGCAACGTAATATAAAAGAGCTCTCTATCTATCTCTCTCTCTATATATATATTTTTTTCTACATAGATAGTTCGACTATCGTTGGGAACGGCCGGGTCTTACACGTGTTCTCGATTTCACAGGTACGGTATGACGACGAGGACGAGGACGAGGGTCCTCAGCCGGATCCGTTGCTCGAGCAAGGAGCACCGATCCCGGTCCGACTGCACAACGAATTTCCACCCGAGCTGGCCTCCACACCTCTCGAGGATATCGATAGTTTCTATCATAACCAAACGGTAACCGTTTAATCGCACAGACACAAAGGCGTCGCTGCCGCCGGCGATCGATACGCAAGGATCGTTAAATCCCGGCTGATAAATTATCGGATCGTGCGATACGAAATGTCGGATCATTCGAAGAGAAAGGGAAATCGTTGTCTTTTTTTAATTAAACGAACATTTTAACGCTAGATTTACGGAGCACGAAAAACAGCTGTTTTTATATTAGTTTATAAAAGTAACAATAAGACGTTTATTCTGATTTTTAACAAGTGTAACATTTGCCGTAAGTAACATATAAATTGAATAAAATAAATGTATCTTTACGATATGAATAATCGTGAATTAAAAAATTAGCGACCCGTCGTTTTGACGGGTTCCGTAAATCTAGTGTTAACGATCATAATGTCCACACCATTCGATTGCGCACATTTTTCCTGACGCGTTTGCAACGGCGAAAGTCGTTAACATCAAGTTTTTAATAAGTGGACTGCCGATTTTATACATTTCCGATTCGTCAAGGTTGTTTATCCGTTTTGACGCATAGCTCCTGTTTAACCCAATGATCTGAATCCACTATGGTCGAAATGGTCGGTTTCTTATTCCGCGATTCTACGAATTTTGGAGACTCTTTCGTAAGAGATTGGAGCGAGTTTTATGATAAAAACTTTATAAAGTCTAAATGAATTTGACGTTTTTTTAATTTAGGCAAGTGAGGCAATAGGACCATTACACCTCATAAAATTGAAATACATTGTTCCCGACTCACAAAATATTATTAAAAATATGGAAACATTTCCAAGCGACTCCCGTTTCGTACAACAGATGTAACAAATTTTGATTTCGCGTAAAGATCCGCTGTCTACTGATACGACGTCCGACGTTCCCCAAGTCGTGGCAACTTCGACTTTATCGGACATTTTCCAGTTCATTTAAAAAATGATCGTCTGTACTTTATTCGGTTCGAAATATTTTTATCGCTGCTCTTATCACTTCGACGAATAGGGCTCGAAGTTTTCTCTTTGCGACGATCCCATAAAACTTGATGTGTGCCACCCCTGGCAATAAGTTTTCAACTACGCGGCACGAAGTTAACAGGAAATACCGTTTACTGTACGTAATAGAGCACGTTATAAAGAAAAAGCGTGCGGTATCGTTAAATCTGTTTAATACAAAGTAAAAACAGAAAAAATAATTATTACAATATTTAGAGATCAGTGTAACTGACGTATAAATCAGAAGACTCGATCTCGTGTGCAGAAAGTGCATTATAAGTCATATACAGGGTGGGGGAATAATCGTGGTACAATCCCAGGGGATGATTACCGTCAAAATGACGGGTTTAATTTACAATTATTATTCATATCGTAAAGATATATTTATGAGTTATTTATTCAATTTATATGTTATTTACGGCAAATGTTACAATAATGACACTTGTTTAAAATCAGAATAAATGTCTTATTGTCACTTTTATAAACTAATATAAAACAGCAGTTCTTTGTGCTCCGTAAAACTAGTGTTAAATAGGGATCGAGAGACCCGTCTGGCCTTCACATACCAATTCCACATCTCGTCATACTACAAGCCATACAAAATGACGGATCTTTAACCCCTTGACATGCAAATAAAACGGAATTTGATGCGTCCGAAAAATACTATTTAATTTGGCTCGACTGAAAAGTTATTTGCAAGCTGAGAAAAAGAATGTTTTATTTTGAAATTTGTTGGATTACCGATTTGCGGATGTAACTTTGTTATTGGTACTGTAGAAAAGGTGGGAGGGTGGGGCATTTTGAACATGAAGCAACTGAGTAATCTAATAATATACTGCACAGTGTCCGCCGAAAACAGCTCTTGACGCGTTAACTCGTCAAAGTCTACAGTGACATATGAATCGCATGACGACCCCAACTCGTCATTGTATGTCAAGGGGTTGAACCTATTTTTCTCGAAAACGCGGTCTCAAGTGAAAAAATGTTACTCTTTTCTCGACTTATTCTTCCATGTAGAATCTCACCTCCTGGCCGGTTGTACCGCGATTTTTCACTCACCCTGTACAATAGAAATACCGTAAGGCAAAACAGTTTTTGGATTTCTAGTTACAAGAACTTTCTTTTACCAAAAACACGAATGTATTTATTCGCGAAGTAGCAAGTAGCGGTACAAAGAAAGTATAAAATGACTTGGAAATGATATTGGAAATAATTGGATCGTTTAAACAAACCTTCATGTAAACTCGACGTGGCGTGCTGTTTTATAAAAATAAGAAGATTGTTTCAAAAAATTTTGTTACAATATCAACTTCATAATTTCAGCAATGTTGAAAATAAAATACGTGAAACCGGTCACGTTGACCGCAATGGCAGGTTTGGTGTAATTTTCAAATAACCATAATCGTCAGCGGTTTCGTTAAAATCGAGCGCAAAGGGTTGATAGAGACGATGATGCGTAATAATGTTGTCTTGAAAACTATTGTCGTGTGTTCCAGACCTTCGTCGTCATCAGCAAGGGAAAGGACATATTCAGGTTCTCAGCGACAGACGCGATGTGGATCCTCGACCCGTTCAACCCGATACGACGCGTGGCCATTTACATATTGGTTCACCCACTGTTCTCCCTCTTCATTATCACTACAATATTGGTTAACTGCATACTCATGATCATGCCCACTACGCCCACCATCGAGTCTACGGAGTGAGTATCGTTCGTACGTCCTCGTCTCGCGCGTTCGATAACACCGGAACAAAGGCGAGACCTCGATTTATCTCTTTGCCTACTCCCACCGTTTCTCTCTGTTACCTTTCGTTTTGATTTTCGTTCGTTTCCGCGATCTGTACGAGCATCGCGTCGCTTCGATTCTGAACGGCCGCACATTCGTAGAACACAAGTTTTTGTAGCTTGATAATCACAAATATTTTTACAGTCGGGGCCTCTATTTTTGCTATACGTTGTACGATATTTTGTACGATATAACGGGTGGGAAACCGAAGACACGTTATCTTTCTTTCAAACTGTTACGTACGTCTTTGAAAATACTGGAAAATTTTGATCTCGATTGTACTTACTATAGTGTTTTTTAAAGATTGAATCTTCCGTTTTATAGTAATCCCTTAAAATTTGGTGTACGACTTTTTTCATGTTGTTTTTCTTTTTACTCAACATTCAATAAGACGACTTGAAAAGTCGCGTATTTTAACAGTATTTTTACCGGTCATTTGTATATATCTATCTTTACTAAATTAATTTTTTTAATTATCATAGGAGAAATTAAAATGTCAATTGGCAAAAAGCGATTAAACTTGGAAAATAATTTTAAACAAAAACTTTTCAAAGCTGTCTCTTGACTCCTATGATAAAAATAGCCTTAAGGAGTATTTCTTTAAGGAGTTTAATTTCGTTAATTCTCTCTAATTTTCCTCCAGCTTGTAAACAAAAATGGACAATTCGGGAAGAGGAGATACAATTATTCGAGCTTTCCATCTCGTTTTCATAATTGTTGACGATCGGCAACTGTAAAAAGGGAGCCACGAGGCTCGAATAATCGTATCTCCTCCTCCAAAATTGCCCAGTTTTGTTTAAAAGCTGAAGGAAAATTAGGGAGAATTTGCTGTAGTTGCAAAGAGATTCAATCTTCGAATCTACGGTTTGTTATAGAAATATTATCCCATTTTATTGATAACCATTATATTCCATCTTAGCCACAACCATCATGTTTTATATTTATTTTAATTTAACCATTACATTTTGTTCATTTCAATGGTAACCGTTCGCAAATGTTCTCACACCTCGATTTATTTATGTCTTCTCTAGAAGAGCAAATATGATAAATATAATTCTTTTATAATAAATATAATTTCTTAACAACTTAAAATCAACATTCTCGATATTTAAAATAAAAGAACGATGCTCGTACAAGCGCCAAAGAATTGAAATTAAAGAGACAACTCGAATAATTCTCGGTTGGATGGAAGCGAACAATTCAAAACCCACGAACAAGTGTTTTATGTTTGAATCGAATGGTTACTTGACTGATCGATAGAAGAGCAATCAGGACAGCGTGTTGGAAACGGTTCGAAATTTTGCTGTTGCTGTTTAAAACGAAAGAATCGGCTCAATGAATGTTGAATTCTGTTGTTTATGAAATCAAGAACAACGAGACTTGTATATACGAGGTGACTGGAGATGTACGGTATTAACGAACGAAGAGTAATTCTGTGTGAAAAGCGATCGAAAAACGCGAGATAATATTTTTTCTTCAATGGATCTTCATTTTCCACAAAATTGAGTCTATCCTTACGCTCTATATTATTGATAAATATTATTGAAGCAACAATTTGATTAACCCTCGGCTAGCAGGTTACAAATACATTACAAATACAAGATCGTAAATAATTTAGTAGTAAAAATTATTTATGCACGTATGCTGAAACACTGTATAATATTGAAATAGAACAAATATTTATAGTCCAAACAAATAGCTTTCACTGATTATGAAATGGTTTCTGTATAATGTGTATAAACAGACCGGGTCAGCGGTGACTCCATTTCTACCGTCAGTGGGTTATTATCTGTTTTGGCAAATAAAAGAAATATCTTTCTTGAAAACGAACTTTCGTGGGAGATAAGCTACATTTTTCGCTTCACGATGAAATTTTCGTAAATAATTATTCTTCGTTCGTCGACACTGTGTATCACCTGTCATCCTTTATTATATGTTCAACAAATATTCTTTTTCTCTCAGCGAATATATACAGTCACTCGCTAAAATATCCGTACTCTTTCGAAATCGAATTACAAACACGTTCTGCAACGAATAACTTTTTTAAAAATTTGACTAAACGTCTTGGATCTTTATCGGATATTATAAGGACTAGTTCACTACGCGAATAAATTTTTGCAACAGTTGCAATTGGTTGGACTGACAAAAAAGGGTATGAACAAAAATAACAAAATATTGGAAAAAGTAACTCCTTTAGCTGAGCCAATAACGAAAATTTAAACAATGTGTTTTGTAGATCTCGGCAACTTACATGTATGCTGAAAATACAGGGTGTCTCAAAGTTATGGTACTTCCGAGAAGTTATGGTACTCATTCGAAGTAACTTTTCCTTTGCGCAAACGCAATCCGCGGCTTTGTTTACAAGTTATTAACGAAAAACACTGACCAATGAGAGGCGAGCTCGGCTAGCGTGAGGTGGCCAATCAACGGAACTGAGCTTCGTGCGCTCGTTGGCTGGGCCGCCTCGCATCAGTCGAGCTCGCCTCTCATTGGTAACTATTTTTCATTAATAACTTGTTAACGATGCCTCGGAGAAAATTTTTATAAAGGAAAAAGTTACTTCAAATGACCTTAGGAACCCCTAATTTCCCGAAAGTAACATAATTTTGGGACACCTCTGACGTTATCAGCTACAGACATTGAAAAATGTAAAAATTTCCAGATTTCTGACAGTTGTCGAGATTACATAAGATCTCAATACAATTTTTATATTTAGAGCTGCATACAAGTTACCAAGATCTACAAATTGCATTGTTTAACACTAAAATAACCAACCGGACATTAAAAGTGACAGAGTATGCTGCTTGAAAACAAATTTATTCGATGGAAGAGTCTTCCATTAAAGAGAGTCTTCATAATTTTCGTTATAAGCTCGAATAAAAAAAATCATTTTTTATACGTTTTCATCTTTTTACGTCATTTCAACTAATAGCAATTTTCACAGACATTTTTTACTCGAACTTGAAACTAGTTCATCTAATATATCGAAAAAATTCAAGTAACTCGGTGAAATTTTCAAAAAGTTATTCCTTTTTGAAAGATGTCTGAATATTCTAGTGAGTAGCTGTATCTATACATATATATACATATATTTCCGCTTGCTCTGCAGTGACTGTGAATCGACGTAGCTTTAGCGTGCTTACGAGCCTAAGCCGGAGATGACGAGGCACGCGTTTTAATGGTTTTCACCCCTCTGTCCGACCTCTTCCTCTTTTTACTTTCGTCCCCCGATTTTGTCGGAGCCTTTGATTGACGTTTGTTTAGATAGGAAAGCCATCGAAAGCTTACGGCGAGTACACGTTTTGTAACGAATAGATACTTTGAGGCGATGTTCTACGTGTCATAGCTCTAAATATAAATATAAATATATACATATATATATATTCAGGGTATCCCAAAATTATGGTACTTCCGAGAAATGAGAGATTCCTGAGGTCACTCGAAGTGACTTTTTCCTTTACAAAAATTTTCTCCAAGGCATCGTTCACGAGTTATTAATAAAAACCACTGACCAATGAGAGACGAGTTCGGCCGCCTTGCGGCAGCCGAGGCGGCCCAGCCAAAGAGCGCACGAAACTCAGCTCCGCTCATTGGTTCGGCCGCCTCACGCCAACCGAACTCGCCTCTCATTGGTCAGCGTTTTTCGTTAATAACTCGTAAACAAAACTGCGGATTGCAATTTCGCTGAGGAAAAAGATACTTTAAATGACCTCAGGAACCCCTCATTTCCCGGAAGTACCATAATTTTGGGATACCCTGTTTATATACATACACATATGAGTAGAGATACTGTGATAAATTGTATATCCGTTGGTAAGTTTTTGTTCCTAGTCTATCTAGATGTAGCGTAGACCATGACCGATCTGTGCGAATAATCGTAACGATGAAATCTATAGAAACGTGTGCCGGTGTCGATGAGAAATGTATCGGTCTCGTGTGCTGAACAGCTTGCCGAGATAATCATTGTTCGCTCGGGTCGTGCTCTAAATAGACATTAATTGTCCGCGGCGATCTGTGAGATCGATCAGACACCGATAACGATCGGACACTGCCGCCTACCTAGTTTCGCAGAAGCGACACTGCTCACCGTAAAGGATCTCTAGATCGTAGTTCAATGTTCACTTTTGTCGATGAATAATAAGGTCTGATAAAATCTGTTGAAATGACCGAATAATCTGTGTGCAAATTGTTGAAACAGTCGAAATGATTTATAATGTTGCCATGAATTTAGAACGAATACCCAGGACTTGATACGTTGTAAAATCTTTGACGAGAATTATTATTAAACAGACTGTGTGGATCTTTGTGCAGGAATAAAAATTGTCTACACTAATCTCAAGGCATAGAAACTAGTGTTCAATTTGATAATTTGATATTTTGATCATTTTAACAGGTCGAAGGCAGCTTATCGATATTCTCCAGTCACTTAAACTCTTCTCCTGCTTTAAATTGGATCTATTCATTTGTCTCGTAAAGGCATTCATTTTTGCAGGCTTATTATTAAGAACATATATGTATATGCATAACTGCTAAATCATATATCGGAGTGTACAAATAAATCTGCGGCTGTAAGATTATTTTTATTACCGGATTACACGAATTAATTTGTGCACTTAATATATAAATAGTCGTGTATTTACAATTTCTAAAATATATTCCGGTAATAAAAATAATCTTGCAGTCACGAATTTATTTGTACACTCGATATATGATTTAACGATTCTTTTGAAGTGATATTAAACCACTGTGATGTTTGTATGTAAAAGTTTCGTACAATCTTCTCGACGATCTGGTCAAATATAATAATATTAATGACATATATATATATTATATAATTGAACAGAATATATAATAATATAATTGAATAGAAAATGCAAACACAAAATCGATAAAATAGAAGAGTCTAGATAAAATGAAGTATAACGCTGGACCGAATCAAGTAAATAACAAATGAATTGACTAAAACTAACAGGTAGAAAAAGCGAAATAAATTTTTACAAATGACTAAAAGTAAAAGAATCCCATCACTATTTTCCGTTGAAGAATCCATGGAAAACATATCAAATAGACTGCAGATTTTCATGGAGCTCGAAGTTTTCGTCAGATAATTTACAACGATTGTTGATCAGTCCCAAACGAAGCAATTAGGTCTACAATTTTTCGTGGAACCGTTTAGCAAACGCAACATAAGATCCGCAATCAAACCATCAATAAATGACTGATAGCGAGATATATGGGTAGGATGGATCCTTTTCATGGTGTCGGTGGTGTCGCCGATGCAGCCTCGGATGCAAGCGCGACGGAACAGTGATTAGGCTGGTAGAGAGAACTCGTCGACGCGCGCAACGAATCGCATTTTAAAGCTGAGTGGTGTGTTTGTTGTTTTCAGAGTGATATTTACGGGCATCTACACATTTGAGTCCGCCGTTAAGGTGATGGCGAGGGGTTTCATTCTGCAGCCTTTTACCTATCTTAGAGATGCATGGAATTGGCTCGACTTCGTAGTTATAGCTTTAGCGTGAGTAGTTAAAAACTTATTCTTTAATAACAAAAAAAAAAGAAAGAAAAAAGAAAACAAGAAATAAAAAGAGGAAAAACCGAAAAGAAAGATAAACACCGGGAGGGGGGAAGTGAAACCCGAGCGTAATAGAGAATTGACGAAAGTACGGCCATCGATTGGTAGAATACAGCGTGTGTCGAAAGAGAATAGCAATCGGCGAAGGTGCATACGTATCGTATTTTCGAAAAGAGAGATCGATAGAGATTATCGATTTGATTGATCGATTTCCTTAATTCGAATCGGACAGATTCGTTTCTTGCATCGTATTTCTCCGATGTCCGTAGGACGTTCTATTTAGGCTAACGAACGTCGCGTTGACGATCATTGAATCGGTATGATCCGCGGTCGCCTAGGATCCGCGAGAATCTCGTTTCGTTTGCCCTTCGAGACTTTTCATTGCTACTGTTTAATATGACGAGAAGCCGACAAGATAGATCCGATCGATCAAGACGGCGATCTTAGGCGAGCCGTGCGGACAGGACCGATTTCCGAGAGGAAAGATATCGCCGGTCCACTGAAGAGAGAATACTTAGTATCCGAATTTAGTGAATCAGGTTGTGAAACCGTAGACATTCGCTAGATACCTTGAGTGCGCTATGGAGAATCGTGTAGCATCGAGTAATTATAATACACCACCGTAATATCAGTCTCTCTTCTCTCTTTCTTTCTTTCTCTCTCTCTCTCTCTTTCTCTCTCTTTCTCCTACTATTTCTCTAACTCTAATTCTCTCTCTCTCTCTCCCTCTCTCTCTCTCTCTCATGTTACACACATATTTTGGCCGATTGTATTTCTGCAAATACATGAAGCATTCTTCTAAACATTGTAACCACACGTAATAGTCACACGAATACGTATACAGGTATATTAAACGAGTATTAGTTCACCTAGATAGGGGATTAGAGATTTTAATTATTATGTCTAGTTACATCGGACCGAAGAGTACCATTTTTTCTTAATCATCGTAATGTTGGTTTAGACTAGTCCTATATACTATACGTCGATCCGACTCAATCACTTTTATTAATTGTTGTAGTTTAGACTATATATACATATTATATACCTTCTATAACATAATATTATTAAGTAATTGTTGATAGATTGGTCAATACGTGTATTTATTCGGCGTAACGAGTACTCGATTATTGTAACTGGCAACACGAGAATACCCCGCCGATTGATTATGGTTCTAACATTCGCGATTCGCGCAGCAACTTTACACGTTTGTTTCAGCTCTTGGTTCGTTCCGTGATAAATCGTCGTCTTTCTTAACCCCTTGCCGTACTTTCACGATGTCCGAGTCGCGATGAAAATTTTTAGTAATGAGATTGGAATGGTCCCTTATGATCCTTATGGTCCCTTAAAATTGGAATAAAATTCTAATCACTTGTCATCAATATTTTGCGTTCGAGTAAAGCATTCGAGTAAATTTAGATACACGACGAACATCAATTTTCTTTCCCTTTTAAGAAATTATTATTGCAATCGAAAAATGTCTAATCGCAGTAACTGTGAAGAAAATGGTACGTCAAGGGGTTAATATATTAACGATACAGTCAATTCCCCCTAATTGGTGCTCAGATTGTGCAGAAAAATGGACAATTTGGGAAGAGGAGATACGATTATTCGATTATTATAAATATTACTATTTATAGTTGTTGGCAACCGGTAAATTGTCCATTTTTGTGTACAATCTGATATTAGAAATTTCAGTTTCATACTTAACTAATATTTCGATTAATTATAAACTACACACGTAGTTTCGTCTTTAACGAAACGAAAATCACGAAAGATCTATAAACAATCAAATACGTTCTCAAAGTGATCATTATGAATTACAATATTCAGCTTTAGAACGAAACCGTTATAGAGTTGATTATGCTATCGCCTTTCTGCAGAAACGCTTACAGATTCAAAGTAGATTGAAACGTTAACATGTAAAACGAAAATAGAATAAAACTATTTGGAAGCTAATGGATCAACTTTTCCAAGTTTCTACGGAAATGTGACATAAGCGGAATACGAACCGCGTACGGGACGATCTAATAAATTCAGTAACGTAGAAAGAACGATCGGTTGAACGAGCATAAGTCGAAGAATTCGATGAAACAAGACGCGATTTTCAATGATCGCCGCGAAAAATGTAGAAACGGTGGTTCTCGTGTTGCCGTCGACATTAAATTACCATCGTGCATGCAGTAATAGCTACCTTTACGATACACGCAGTTCCAAGCAGACTTTTGGTAGGCCATAGGAAACAGTAGCGAGTAACCCTTTGAGTAACGTTAATTATCCTGAACTCTCTTTTCTAACGTTTTGTTTTTTTGTTTGTATCACTGTAATGTGTGTGATGTTCGGGTGTATTGCAGTTATGTGACGATGGGCATAGATCTAGGCAACCTTGCCGCTCTCAGGACATTTCGAGTCCTCCGAGCCTTGAAGACTGTCGCTATTGTACCAGGTATGCTTAGTGAAATAGAATTGGTCGTAGACGCAGATTAACTAATTAGAAAAGTCATAGAACACAATTGTCGCGGTCGCTGTACACATCTATCGTAAAAAAAAACTCATCACCGATATATGATAACGCCTGTTCTAACGAACACCTTTTTGTTTTCTCGATCTGTTCTATTGTTTCGCTTCTCACGAGGCCATTCTTATTTTTTTTTCTTTTGTCTCATCAGCCTTTCCATCTTGCCGCGCTCATCCATCGGTATATCGAGTCATTCGTCGAATTATCGGGTCCGTGGGAGAGTTCTGTCGCTTTCTTTCCGTTCGTTTCCGTCGTCGACGCTGCTCGCAACACAGCTTATTATTTCGAAACAGATCGGCGTGATCACGGCAGTGATCACGGTGTCGAAGCCCGTCACATTCGACGCTGCACATTTTCTTTAACGAGATCGCACATCGGCCGAACCGTTTTCGTTCCCGACAAACATATATCACGGCCGAGAGTTTCGTTTTCTTTTCACGAACAGTATACACGTAATGTCTCTCTAATCGACGCTCAGATCGTCCACGGAAATGGACGATTTGTGAAGAGGAGACACGATTATTCGAGCCTTGCGGCTCGTTTTTATAATCGTTGACGATTCGTGACTATAAAAACAAACCGCAAAGCTCGAACAATCGCATCTCCTCTTCCCAAATTGTCCATTTTTGTGTACGATCTAAGCGTCAATTAGAGAGACATTACTGTACTATTTTTTTTTTCGTCTTGTTCTATACTCACGACACAATCCTCATTTCTCCGTCGTTAAACAGCTTCTGCTTCGCCATCGTTAGAGCGTATACTGTTGGTATCTTTAACGTATTTTGCTTTTTGTATGACACCGACCAATCCGCATCGAACAGACGAACATAACGACACACGAAACATGTTTAGTTCCGACCGTTCCTCGACAGAAATACACACCGAAACACGTTCGAAGACAAGCGCCTAGATCGTTTTAAATAGGACCCAAAGTTTGTTGCATCGCATAGTTACAAGCTTTCGTTCGTTGTCGACGGCCCGATTGCCTCCGGATCGTTTCACGATTCTTTTCGTTTCCCCGCAGAACCTAACGCAATAGAACAAACGTAGCCACGCGGCGTAGACGAAGCTACACGCACGCAAGGAGAATAAAAGGATCGCCAGCCCGAGACAACTCTCCGAGAGAATCTCTTAAAAATATAATACCGAAAAGCGACAGAATCTTCCCAAGAATCCGATGCGTCGATCAATGTTTCACTGTTTGATCATCACTGTTTTGATCGACTGCCGTCGTCCCCAGCCTTTCTTGCGCCACCATCCTCGTCGCCGCGCGTTTTTTCCTCGATACCTCTCGACCTCCCATCTTTTTGTCTCTCCCGAATCATCGTCTGATTATCTCGACACTCGTCAGCCCCGTGTCGCCTCCGATACCTCGCCTCCCACACGCTGAAACGAGAACGGCCCGTCGAAGTTGACGACGGCTGAAGCTGACGGAACGCCGAACTGAGCCCAACTGTCCTTTTCTCTCGTTGCCTAGGTCTGAAAACCATTGTCGGCGCTGTGATAGAATCCGTGAAGAACCTGCGCGATGTGATAATCCTGACGATGTTCTCTCTTTCCGTCTTTGCGCTGATGGGCCTCCAGATTTACATGGGGGTTCTCACGCAAAAGTGTATAAAAAACTTTCCTGAGGACGGCTCCTGGGGTAATCTCTCCGCCGAAAACTGGGAGCGATTCGTTAGTAACGAAAGTACGTAGCGCTCTGATCTCTATTCGTGGTTTGTGCCGGCCACGGTGTAAGAAGAAGAGATGAATCAACTTCATCCCCCACTCCTACGATTTTTAAGATTTAATTACATTGTTCGCAGTCGGTGAGAACGTCTAGTATGGGTGCGGTACCCACTGCCGTAATAATGGCGACACTTATGCAAATATAATTTTAAAAAATAATGTACTAATAATATAATAATACATATATACCTATATATACATATAATACTATATAATATTATATTATATTATATTGTATTATATAATATTATATTATATTATATTATATTATATTATATTATATTATATTATATTATATTATATTATATTATATTATATTATTATATTATATTATATTATATTATATTATATTATATTATATTATATTATATTATATTATATTATATTATATTATATTATATTATATTATATTATATTATATTATATTATATTATATTATATTATATTATATTATATTATATTATATTATATTATATTATATTATATTATATTATATTATATTATATTATATTATATTATATTATATTATATTATATTATATTATATTATATTATATTATATTATATTATATTATATTATATTATATTATATTATATTATATTATATTATATTATATTATATTATATTATATTATATTATATTATATTATATTATATTATATTATATTATATTATATTATATTATATTATATTATATTATATTATATTATATTATATTATATTATATTATATTATATTATATTATATTATATTATATTATATTATATTATATTATATTATATTATATTATATTATATTATATTATATTATATTATATTATATTATATTATATTATATTATATTATATTATATTATATTATATTATATTATATTATATTATATTATATTATATTATATTATATTATATTATATTATATTATATTATATTATATTATATTATATTATATTATATTATATTATATTATATTATATTATATTATATTATATTATATTATATTATATTATATTATATTATATTATATTATATTATATTATATTATATTATATTATATTATATTATATTATATTATATTATATTATATTATATTATATTATATTATATTATATTATATTATATTATATTATATTATATTATATTATATTATATTATATTATATTATATTATATTATATTATATTATATTATATTATATTATATTATATTATATTATATTATATTATATTATATTATATTATATTATATTATATTATATTATATTATATTATATTATATTATATTATATTATATTATATTATATTATATTATATTATATTATATTATATTATATTATATTATATTATATTATATTATATTATATTATATTATATTATATTATATTATATTATATTATATTATATTATATTATATTATATTATATTATATTATATTATGTTATATTATATTATATTATATATATGTATAATATAATATAGTATATTGTATATAATATAATATATATAATAATTATTAGTAATGCGTATATAATATGTTATTAGTAATACGATGGGGTCCGCGGTTGTGTCCACTCCTTACACCGCGGTGTCGACTTATGACACTACCACGACGTGCCGCAATTTTCTCTCGCCTAATCGTTTCGCTCTGTTTCTTCGTTTAGCTAATTGGTACGTGGACGAGGCGAAAAATATGCCCTTGTGTGGAAATTCATCTGGAGCAGGGTAATTATCGATTTTCTTCTAATTACAATAATAATTGTCGCGCGGTAACAATATCTTTGTTTCTTGGCCTCGTGGTTAAGGAAATGGGCTTTGTTTACAGTCGTCTACGGTGGAAAATAGCGATAATAACGATAACGTCGTTCGTTATCGTTATTGTTGAAAATGCTAGAGTTCGTCTACAAAAGAACTGTTCGACAGGGATTACCTTGGAATCACCAACAATAATACCTTGGAATCACAACACGGATAATAACATTTGCGGTGAAACGAGAGTCGATGTAAACACTTGTCGGTGATTTCAACGTGTTGGCGTACAATGTCGGTGAAATAATTGTTGGTGATTTCAAGGTAAGCGTCTTAACGGAGTGGGCACGTGAGAAAGGAAAGAGCGAAGTGTTTACGTTATCATGCCATCCTTCCTCTCTCACTCGCACGCATTGCCGTTATACAGGGTGTCCCAGGTTTTAATGTTCAAACTTTGTTAGTGTATTCTATGGCACAAAGTAAGAAAAAAATGTTATGTAAACATAGGTCGTATAGAGCTTTATTAAGAAGTTATAACAAAAATTCAGAATAGGAATAGTAATCAACTTGCTGTTACTGCGAGCATTGGCTTGAATAGATCAGCACATGCCGTGTGTTTATGTAAGCTGTGTTTATTAATACATTTCGAAATGTATTAATAACCGTTGTTGACAATACATGATTGACATCGATCGAAGATTTTTTTTTATTTTTTATTTTCTTTTTAGTTGATTACTATTCCTATTCTGAATTTTTGTTATAACTTCTTAATAAAGCTCTATACGACCTATGTTTACATAACATTTTTTTCTTACTTTGTGCCATAGAATACACTGACAAGGTTTGAACATTAAAACCTGGGACACCCTGTATGGCGATCGTGCGATGCTCATTCTATTTCACTCAATGTCGACGTAAACTACAGTCGATCTCTGTCCACCGTCTTCGGCCAAACTGTCGTTACTGGTGGGGAGTTCCACGCAAGCTAAAGAAGGGGCACCGTTGCCCCCGGAAGTGGGGCCTAGAGCCCGCCGATCGGTGTTTACTCTGGACTGAAAATTGCTGCTCATACGGGCATGATGTTGAACAACTCTGGTCTAAAACGATATTAACCCCTTGACATACAAATGAAACGGAATTTGATGCGTCCGAAAAATACTATTTAACCTTTTAGGTACGGCTGAATTCTGCGCGTGACTATTTCATTGGACGGCAGAGTCTGATGTGTACTGTACAGACTCTGATACTGTATATATGGGGGGGGGGGGTGTCCAAAAAATGTCTCGCAATTTGAAAGTGGCGGTTCCTCAGGCCATTTGAAGCAACTTTTTCCTTTACAAAAATTTTCTCCGAGGCACCGTTGACGAGTTATTAACGAAAAACAGTGACCAATGAGAGGCGAGCTCAGCTGGCGCGAGGCGATCGAGTCAATGAGCGGAACTGGGCTTCGCGCGCTGGTTAGCAGGGCCGCCTCGCGTCAGCCGTACTCGATTCTTATTGGTCACTGTTTTTCGTTAATAACTCGTTAACGGTGCCTCGGAGAAAATTTTTGTAAAGGAAGTAGTTGCTTCAAATGATCCGAGGAACCCATCATTTCCGGTTTGCAAGACATTTTTGGGACACCCTGTAGACTGTTGTAAATCGATGTGAAGACAAAAGAAGTGTGAAACAATACATATGAAGACGATTATTTAGTTCAAACGATGAGCGAGTGAGCTACTAGAGCAAGCCACTATAGTGGCGCGTCGTGCCTAAAAGGTTAATTTGGCTCGACTGAACAGTTATGTGCAAGCTGAGAAAGAGAATGTTTTATTTTGAAATTTGGATTATGATATTTGGATGGATCTTGACCATTGTAAACAAACCGGAATCGACGCACGAGTGAAGCAACTGAGTAATTTAATAATATATTGCACGGGTTCAGCCGAAAACAGCTCTTGACGAGTTAAACTCGTCAAAGTCTGCAGTGGCACATCAAAAGAATGACGACCCCAACTCGTCATTGTATGTCAAGGGGTTAACTCTGCATCTCATAAAAGTTAATATTTAAACGAAAGTGTATCCTAGAAATGAGCTTTCTAGGAGGAGCTTATTGAACACTTCCAACTCGTAGACGACCTCAGATATTGAATCATTTGAGCTATGTATGTACTAATGATCCTCGTTTCGTCTCGCAGGCAGTGCCTTCCTGGCTACACGTGTTTACAAGGATACGGCGACAATCCGAATTACGGTTACACGAGTTTCGACACCTTCGGCTGGGCCTTACTCTCTGCTTTTCGTCTGATGACACAAGACTACTGGGAAAATTTGTATCAGCTGGTGCTAAGATCGGCCGGGCCGTGGCACATGCTGTTCTTCATCGTGATCATTTTTCTTGGATCGTTCTATCTCGTGAACTTGATTCTCGCTATTGTCGCGATGTCGTACGACGAATTGCAAAAGAAAGCCGAGGAAGAGGAAGCCGCCCAAGAGGAAGCCACGAGGGTACGACAGAAATTTCGTTGATAAATTTAACACAGCAAACGTTTATCGAGATCTGCTGGCCTAAAAAGCTAAACGATCTTGAAGGAGACATTGGTCCTGCACGAAATTCTATTTCTATCGCTCGTAATGATTTCGATTGGGAGAACTTATGGCAGTTGTTCACAATAGTGTTGCGGGATTTGCGCAATTTAAAATGAATGTGCTCCTTTCTTCGCGACACTTAACTTTATTAACACAAAATAAACATTCTTGACCCTTAACATTACACTATTTCTTTTACAACTGTAGTAATTTCTCCCTAATTCGCGCTCAAATTGCGCACAAAAATGGAAAATTCGGGAAGAGGAGATACGATTATTATAGTTTTATAGATTTTATAGTTTTTATAGTTGTTGACAATCGATAACTATAAAATAACTCGAATAATCGTATCTACTCTTCCGGAATTGTCCATTTTTGTGCGCAATCTGATCGCGAATTAGAGAGAAATTACTGTACGTCGATGTGCGTTTCTCCGTCCACGATAATTTCCGTAATCGAACAAAACAATTTTTGTTTCATGTATGTATGGGTAAACGTACCCCCATCTCTACAATCTGATAACAGAAGAATCAAATTTTGTTTCAACTCAGAAGAAGCAAGCAACGTTCATATTTATGCACAAAATCTTCGTTATGAGTCTAAAATAAAATAATACGCGCTCGAAATATAATTGCGAGCAATTTAAATAGAATTTCCGTCTCCGGTAACTGTTTTAACCAGTTAGCTGCGGCGCCTCTTTTTCAGAACGTGCACGTACATGTGTCGCGTGAATCAAGCGATGACGAGTATACTCGTCAAACGCAGAGTAAGTGTCGCTGTTAAAATATTGGATCAAAAAGAATCATTTATTTTATAAAATTGACAATTTTATTACTAATATTTACTTATTCACTTAACATTAACATATACTACATACACAATAAACAAAAAAAGGCAGGAAAAATCAAATATTTATAAAAAAAGTTAAAAATTCAAATTGCTGCTGTAGAGAATGGTATTCAGCCAAAGAAAGGAACGATATATAGGGTGTCCCAAAATTATGGTATTTCCGGGAAATGAGGAGTTCCCGAGGCGATTTGAAGCAACCTTTTCCTTTAGAAAAATTTTCTCCGTTAATCTATTATTAATGGTTAATCGTTGATTAATTATTAACGAAAAACACTGACCAATCAGTAGCGAGTTCGCTTGGCGCTAGGGGACCGAGCCAATGAACGGAACTAGACTTCGTGCGCTCGTTGGCTGAGCCGCCGTGCGTCAGCCGAGTCAATGAGCGGAACTGGAGTTCGTGCTCTCGTTGGCTGGGCCGCCACGAGCCAGCCAAACTCACCTCTCATTGGTCAGTGTTTTTCGTTAATAATTCGTTAACGAAGCCTCGGACAAAAATTTTATAAAGGAAAAAGTTGCTTCGAATGACCTCAGGAATCTCTAATTTCCCGGAAGTACCATAATTTTGGGACACCTTGTATAATGGCACTTTGCACGTCGAACACCAATATCGTGATTCTTTCCTAATCTTTATTTTATAAGGATGTAAACAGCTTCGTGTGTAGAATTGATCTCAAAATATTCCATACATCTTGAGACTTGAGAATATGTTTTTGTTTTCACTAAAATTGCAATTTAAATAGCCAATGGTCGCTACTTTTTACGCGCGACGAGTATACTCTTCGCGACACAAAATACTGCCATTTCTCCATAACGAGTATACTCGCCAAGCACAGCTAACTGGTTAAGTAACCGAAATAAATGTTCTCATGGACAACGGTTACATGCAGTCGATGTTAAACACCTCGACGTGTAATTAATTCGCGATGTTTCTGATCGAACGAAACCAGGAAGCCGAAAGCAAGGCTCAGGCGAGAGAGAACAAGGCGATTGCGAAGGAGGCTGCTGCGAGGGAGGCGGCAGCGCAGGCAGCAGCAGCCGCCCACGCCGCGGACCAGATCGTCAAATCGCCCTCGAATTTCTCGTGTCAGAGCTACGAGTTGTTCGTCGGCCAGGAGAGAGGGAACGACGACAACAACAAGGAGATACAGTCGGACAGGGTGACGCAGATCAACAACCACACGACTACCACTAAAGTACGAAAAGTCAGCGCCGTAAGTATCTGACCGGCGAGGTCGCCATCGATTTATCCACCCTTGACGTAATATACGTGGTTCTCACCAACTTATTCCCCGACCTCGCTTCCACGAGAGCAGTTCACGCGAGGCTGTCTCGATATCTCGACTCGACTCGTCGGCGCATGCGACTCAGGTTGTTCGAATGAACGGAGGGAGGTTTCTTGTGGAACGCGCTCGTCCCCATGCGAACCGATTTCTTCGCAGTTTAACCCTTACGCGGAAAATCGAGATCCCGTTTCTATGTTTACATATCGTTCTTCTCATGTTTCCTGATTGAATACCGCAAAATTGTTTCAGATCCCCGTTCTTCAGGTACAGTAAATTCACCCTAATTTTTCTTCAGCTTGTAAACAAAAATGGACAATTTGGGAATAGGAGATACGATTATTCGAATCTCGCGGCTCATTTTTATTGTTGCCGATCGTCAATAATTATAAAAACGAGGTGCAAGGCTCGAATAATCGTGTTTCATCTTCAAGAATTGTCCATTTTTGTTTACAAGCTGAAGGAGGATTAGGGAGAATTTACTGTACTCTTATGTCTAGGATACGCTTCGAGAAATCAATTTATGGAAAACATTTTTAAGCAATTACGTTTGAAACCTGCTTATTCGGTTATTGTACAACCGGGGTACCTAGGCGCCTATGTTATCGGTAACTTTTTACGGTAGATCGTATAATGCACATATTTCTTTTAGTTATTTTAGCATTTATTTGTAATCATAGATAGGCAAATACAAACAATCATAACAAATTACTACAATTATTAAAGTCTGTAATTGCATCGATGTGCTGCGATTTCCTACGACTTTCCTTCTTTCTTAACGTACTGAGGCTCGTTTAATATACTTTTCATTACCGGTTTCGGTGAAATATATCTCACATTAGAATTCAGAAATCGGCGTTGAATTGTTGGAAGACGGAAGCTTTTTAAAAAGTCATTTGAATTATTGAAGTTAACAGTTCACTGTTACTTGCGCTAATCGAATCAACAAATTGTATTTCAGGCATATTCTTCGCTTGAATTGTCGTATTGTTAATAAGAGTTGCCGTATATAGTTTTTCAAATATAAAATAGATTAGGCACTGGGGTACCCCGGTTACCGAATAATCGTAAAATCCATGGTTGTGTGTGTGTGTGTGTGTGTGTGTGTGTGTGTGTGTGTGTGTGTGTGTGTGTGTGTGTGTCTGCATAAAGGTTAAACTAGAACAGATCGGTGGAATAACTTTCGCATAATATTGTGACGTGATTTAACATCGAACTCCCTACCAGTGTCAAATGACGGGTTTCGCACGTCTTTTATATGAATATACGAATTTTATATCGTTGGAATTGTAAATTTTCAATTTTATTACTCTTACAACTCGATAGGCTTTTATTGTTGAGGAAACACTGGAACTTTTCTGTGAACTGAACATAAGTCGCGGATCATTCAGCAAAGTGTAAATGGATATTGATCTTTGCCTCTTAATGGTTCGGAAAAGTAGCAGATAATATAATAAAGTCTTCTTCGAATTCGTCCGATGTTTTCTTTGTCTTACAGGGTGTCCCAAAATTATAGTACTTGCGAAAAAAGTAGTTCCTAAGGTCATTTGAAGCAACTTTTTCCTTGGCGCAAATGTAATTCGCTGCTTCGTTTACGAGTTATTGACTAAAAACACTGACCAATGAGGTGCGAGTTCGACTGGCGCGAGGCGGTCCGCTCGTTGACTCGGCCGCCTTGCGCCAGCCGAGCTCGCCTCTCATTGGTCAGTGGTTTTTGCTAATAACTCATGAACGATGCCTCGGAGAAAATTTTTGTAAAGGTAAAAGTTGCTTCAAATGACCTCAGGAACCTCTCATTTGCCGGAAGTACCATAATTTTGGGACACTCCATATATCACGCCCGTTAATTTCTCCGCAGTCTGGTAACGACGAGATCAGATTTATACGGATTTGTTCAACGACGAAGACAAGCATCCACAGAAACTTCTCCCCCTTTGCGAAACATCCTGCAGTGCTTTGACTGTTGCAAGAGTAGAATTTTAAAGGTTCGAGGAATGGATGATCTTGTTAATAGTTTGAAGGAATGAGTTTGGGATGGTCGAGGAGGCAAGTAAGGTTAGCAGGTTAGAGGATAAATCGACGAAGAATCGCACCCGGCTTGTAGAGTGCGAAACGAGCTTGGCGAAAACTCGGTGGCCGGCTTGCGAGTTTTGAAAGGATGGAAGATATTATATATTATATAAATCAATGATAGCCGACTGTGTTTCACGAAACGAAAAGAAAAGAATCGAAACGAAACGAAAAGAATCGTTTGGCTGATCTCGACGAGTCGAGCCCTTCCATTAAAGTCTGTCGCTCTGTAGCATGCTTGCCGTACGGTACATCGTTTAGGACGCTTTCAGACATCTTGTTTTTTCGTTTGGTTGATTTACTCGCAAACTTCTCTTTCCAGTTGTAACGCTGAGCTTGAGGCTCGTTTCAGTTTACGTATTGTTCCCGCGGCTATGCGTGTAAGAGTAACCAGATCGACGCCTACATCCACGTGAAACAGTCGTCTTGATCGTCATTGTTATATGTCTTGCATGCGAACGCATGTGTTCTCATAGAGAAAGGAGATACGAACTGTCGGGACGTAAATATCGCAGAATTTTACGAAGGAAATGGCCAAGGACCAACGATTATTCGAATCGTTTGCAAATGGTTACCGATAGCGAACCGACGGATACAGCTTTTTACAGCCATTTTGTTTCAATAAACGTCATCGGAAGCCTGAAGACACTTGCTACTTGAACAAAAGGTCAAGGTTATTTATCGAAGTTTCTCATTTTCAAGCATCGATGCGCCAATGCCGTAAATCAACCTCAAAATATTCCACAAAATCTAAATAATTTGATCCATGAAACTGAAACCGAGAAGTTACACAATTTATCATAGCGGATGATACATTCACTTGTTGTGTTCTAAACATGCCAGTAAATTTTAGTAGTACGATAAAAATAAATTTTGAAAAACGATACAAAATATGTGTCATTCGTATGTAGTCGTCGCTGTACTCAACGTGTTAAACTAAAACGTTTCGACGCTGTTCTACGATGATTCGTCACTGACGTCGTCGATTTTTGAGAAATTCGATCGTGAAAAATGAGACTTCTCAATTGGAGAATGTGAATTACAAAGCTTTATTTCGCCAAGTGTTCCGCTACTTTTATCATTTGTTGGTTCATGCGCTGCCACATGAGCATCATGTTGGAATGCGTTCATCGAGACAAAACGTGAACATTTTAAATGAGAGCATTTTAAATGACGGCACTATTACGTGCCAATTGTAGCATTCGAAACCGATTTGTCGCACATAAAGATCGGCGAATCCTCTGATTACGATGCGTCAAGAAAGGGTAAGAGACAACAAACCAGCGAAACGATGGCAGAACAGTGTCTACAGGCTTCTAACCAGGGATTGGAAACAGTTATGAGATCGGCTTAGATTCTTGAAATGTTTATGAAGAATCGGAGAAAGCGTTGGTTACGGTTCTCCATAATTGCAATATCTTTCCGTAACTATAAAACAGAACTATGACCGAATGTTCAGTTTTACAAATATAAAAGATCGGTTCTGAAAAAAACCCGAAACCGATATTAGTTTGAAACGGTTACAGTAATTTCTCCCTAATTCGCGCTGAGATTGCGCAGAAAATTGGACAATTTGTGAAGAAGAAACGCGAATATTCGAGCCTCGCGTCTCGTTTTTATAGCTATTGACAATCGGTAACGAGCCGCGAGGCTCGAATAATCGCATCTTCTCTTCCCAAATAGTCCGCAATAGTCTCAAATTTGTGCGCAATCTGTGCGCGAATAAATTGAGAAGAAATCACTGTATTTCTGGAGGCTTTTCAATCCCTGCTTCCGACGCAGCTGTCCGCCGAAGCCGCGCGGAGGACGCGCGCCGCAAACTTCCGGAAGATCGCGCCGATCTTCGTGTCTCCCGTTCTGATATCACGAGGTAGAGAAACATCTCTGTAATCTCCCAGTCTGTCGCGACCAGCTGTAAATCCATTTCTGCGCGAACGACATCTTGCTCTTCTGTGCTATGTACGCTTTTTGCTAGCATCTACATGAACATCTTATGTATACATATTATTATATCCGTATCGAGTGCCTCCTTGGTGTACACAATTAGACCACGTTACGAGCCGTTTGGTAGGAGATGTCTTTTCTTGTTTTTTTCTGAAGGTCTCTCGCGCCGCTAATGGCCAGTTTACTTATGCCTACCAGGAAAGCCCGCGGAAGGTACGTGTGTCACGGCCGTGTCTGTCAGCGGCGAGCGTACGTACTTAAATAGCTGTACAGCATCCATGATCCGTAATCATGTCAACGCGACCGTTGTTCGACGTGTCGGCACGATGGTGGGGTGTTATACCGATCAATGTGTCTATCGAAGCCGATCCCATCAACGAGCGACATCCGTAGATTCTTTCTTCACCGTAGCTTAAAGTCCGCCGGAGGAAACGACATACCACCGTTCACATAAACGTTCGTCGAACCGTGATCGCGTAGAAATATGTAGTACCAGACTCATACTCGAACAAATCATTCGGAACGGAAACACCGGGTCGTTCACAGTAATCCGCGGTCAACGATGAACACTGAACAGAACGAGTATACGAGAAAAAAAGAAACGAAACCACGATGCATAAGCTCGTGCGTTTATTGCCTCGACGATCGCCGAGACATTTTCTGTCTCGCCGAGGCCAGAAAGTTGCGTAGAGCTTTTCGTAGCCACCGCTGTATGTACATTGTATATCGTATGTACACAGAGAATTACTTGCATCATGATGCGGGGAGGCATTCACGTACCCTAGACGGCTTTATTTAGCGCCCCCACGGTTCTGATAACTCTCCGATATAGGAAGAGCGATCGAGTCACTGAAGACGGCTGCGCTTCCGAGCAATATTCGTTTCGTTGAGTGTTTGACAGCTGACGAGACCGACGACAAGTCGATTGTCGCGGTTCTAATAGGGAAGGTGGTATATATACATGTATATTATATATAATACGATATAAAATATATGCAATATTATATATAATAATATATTGTATATATAGTATAAAATATTTGTAATATTATATATAATAATATATTGTATATATAGTATAAAATATTTGTAATATTATATATAATAATACATTGTATATATAGTATAAAATACAATATATATAATAATATATTGTATATATAATATAAAATACAATATATGTAATGATATTATTATATAATAATATATTATATATATAAATGTATATATATGTATATATATATATATATATATATATATATATATATACATATACACCTCTTATATTTTATACACAGAGAGAAAATCGTCTGTTTCCCACCGCATCCCACGATCCCCGAAATGTAACCCACGCGGCTCCATATTCTTCCGGCGAGCGAGGATAGAACGGCGATGAGAGAAAAGTGGTGGTCCGCCTTGTTGTTATTTCAGGCGAGCCTTAGTCTACCTGGCTCACCATTCAATATCCGTCGGAGCAGTCGCGGTAGCCATCAGTTCGCGATTAGAAACGGACGCGGCCGTTTTGTCACGCCGCCCGGCGGCGACCGGAAGCCGTTGGTCCTCTCGACCTACCTGGACGCGCAGGAACACCTGCCGTTCGCGGACGACTCGAACGCGGTCACGCCGATGTCCGAGGAGAACGGTATCATCGTGGTGTCCGGTTACTATGCGAATCTTGGCTCTAGGCACTCGTCGTACACGTCGCACACGTCCCGGTTCTCGTACACGTCCCACGGCGACCTGTTCGGCGGCCTCGCCAATGCCGGCAAACCGATGACCAAGGAGAGCCAGCTGAGGACCAGATCCGTCAGACCACCCTCGGTGAATGGACATTTCACGGATTCGAATCAGAAGTACCATTATGTGAGTATCGCGTCCGGCATAGACCGATCGACATTTCCGGGACCGACACGTTTTCGGATTAGTTGCCGAATTTTGCTTGCTGGACACCTTACTCCCCCATCCCAAGTTCGTCATCGTTGAACAAAAGAATGTAACAAAATGACGTATCCTGGACCGATCACCTAAATCGTACCTGACGAACTTTGTCGCCATCGGACGAGAGAACGTAGCAGAATTTTACGTGCAGCAAATTCTCTCTAATCTTTCTTCAGCTGGTAAACAAAGATGGACAATTTGGAAAGAGGAGATACGATTACGGAGATGCGCCTAGTTTTTATAATTGTTGACAATCGGCGACTATAAAAATGAGTCGGGAGGTTCGAATAATCGGTATCTCCTCTTTCCAAGTTCTCCGTTTTTGTTTACAAGCTGAAGGAAAATTGGAGAGAATTTACTGTGTACACCTCACTGATCACCTAAATGGTACCCCATGGACGAATTCGTTGTTCTCAGACAAAATGATGTAGCACAATAAAGTACATTTTACAGATTGTCTAAATCGTGACTCGTAAAAGAGTTCGTCATCGTCAGGTAAAAGAATGTAACACGGTTAAGTGCACATTACTGGTCAGCTACACCGTAACTAACGAACGAATTCATTACAGTAATGTCTCCCTGACTAACGCTCAGATTCTGCATAAAAATAGACAATTTGGGAAGAGGAGATACGATTATTCGAGCCTTGCAGCTCGTTTTAATAGTTGTTGACAATTCGTGACTATAAAAATGAACCGCAAGGATCGAATAATCGTATCTCCTCTTCCTAAATTGTCCATTTTTGTGGACAATCTAAGCGTCAATTAGAGAGACATTACTGTATCATCCGACAAAAGAGTATAGCGCAGTTAGGTGTACGTTACTGAAACGTATCCTATAAAAGATTTCGCTGTCAACAGGCAAAAAGAAGTACACCAAAATTAAATGTACCGTGATGTTTACCTAAAACGTACCCCACGAACGAATTCGTTACCGTCAGACAAAAGAATGTACAGTAATTTCTGCAAGAAATGTTCGGAGGTCGGAATTGAAAAACCGGCAAATCCGAGAATACTAAGTCGCGATTCTTCGGGCAGCGTGGCTCGTTTTTATAGAAACTCGGGACAGTCAGCAAAAAAAAAGGCGGCGGCCAGCATGTCGGTGTACATTAATATGAATACATAGTAATGCTAGAATAAAAACGATGACTCAACTTTTTTATTTCCAATTTTTTGCCACGATTCGAAGGCAATTCGAAGGCCACATGACACGATTCGACGGTCGCGAACCTTATAGCTTCGCGATTTTTCTTACCTGACTCACGCCCAAACATATTATTTGAGAATTTGCGTCGCGTGTCGCATCGCACGCTTGACCGACTTCGTCGATCCTTAGCATCGACGTAGCAATAAATTACATAGGCGTAGAACTAGCACAAAGAAATTTACGGCAACCCGAAATTTGGCATTTCCGGAAGAAATTACTGTATATCAAAGTTAAGTATTTTGCTAAAGTGTAATTAAAAATATAAAGTATATTATACCCCATAAATATATATATATATAAATTCGTTGTCATTATTATTGCAGATCCTTATGCGAAATAAAAGTTTCTAAGACCGTCCACCGTAAAAGAGTGAAGTTAAAAATGTATTTCGCCGTTCAAATAACTTCAATAAGTCGACGATTATTAAAGTCAGCAATAGAAACTCTTCTAATATCCTCAGAAGTTCGTGCATCTACTTTTCACCAGTCGAGGACAAACGTATTCAATGATAAATCGTGTACTCATTGTACCAGTTTTTTTTGTAACTACCCTCGACACGCGATGTAGCAATTTCCCGAGAATTTAAACAATTAGAAGATTACTGCTGAATGTAATTAACATGGCAATTTATTCTCAGGAGAGTGATCTGGACGATCCCATGGGCAAGCCAAAGCAACAAGACAATCCGTTTATAGGGCCTTCTCAACAACACGCTGTGGTCGATATGAAAGGTACATGCGAGGAACGCTACGAAACATTCATATCTCTATCGAATTGTTTACAACAAGGATGATTAAACGAGTTGATGCGTATTTCAGATGTGATGGTACTGAACGATATTATAGAGCAAGCCGCGGGTCGTCAAAGCCGTACTCCCGAGCAAGGAGGTAATGTCGAGACCCCAATCGTATTTCGCTCACGTTAATTTTTCCAGTGTATCACCCCTAATCACAGATGTGTATCTCTTGTGTGATGAGCATCCTATTTTTCAATGTACACCGTTGTTGAGACTCTTTTACTTCTACTATTCTATCCGTTGATATTCAGTGCTAAAGATTTTTTGGCCGAGCGCATTGTACATAGTAGACTGGATATCCTTTCTTTCCGATACATTTTTCGTTTTCGTTCCTTCGATTTGCTTTCTGATTCTATCGAGAAAAAGATGAAAAGAGAGAGAGAGAGGGAGAGAGAGAAAAAAAGAAGAACGTCCGATAGTTGTATGCTCGTGTGGGTCATTTATCGGTGGGGAGCATCGTTCACGTTTTTCCCGGCTGGTCCCGAGTTCGTTCACAGTATTATGCTCGTTTCTACTGTCGCAGAGGACGGAAGACGCCACTGTGCGGTCGAAGTCGACGACGTTTATTTTACCGTGATTAAATGAATGCGATTTACTGCGGCGTGTGTAAGCCCTCGAATCGTTTGGATGGATTGAGAACAGTTTGTAGTAGATTTCTTTTGGGGAAACAGAGTTTGTTTCCTGGTATATGACACAGATTAACATCCTCGCTGCAGCTGCACGACATCCTGGTCGCTTCGCGCCTGGATTCCGCTTTCTGTTCTACCTTCGACGCACGGCTGCGACTAAGAGACAGTTTCATCGTTTAAAAGAAAAAATTATATTATGTCATTAATAATTATATTATATTAATAACATTATATTGTATTATATATACTGTGTGTACAGTAATTTCTCCTTAATTCGCGCTCAGGTTGAGCACAATAATATAGTTGTCGACAATAATTACAAAATTATACAATAATTATACAATTGTGTTAATTATTGTTAACAATAATTACAGTTGACAAACGGTAACTATAAAAATGGCCATTTTTGTGCGCAATATAAGCGCGAATTATGGAGAAATTACTGTATCGCGTAAAATAATCGAAGCATGAAATGATTTCTCACAAATTGTGCCTCAGCTTGTACACAAAAATGGACAATTTAGGAAGAGGAGGCACGATTATTCGCGGCTCCTTTTTATAGTTGACAATTGACGAATAATTATATCACCACTTCCCAAGTTGCCCGTTTTTATTTAAAAGCTGAGGGACAATTTGCGAGAATTTACTGTACATCGAATTGGACCCATGTATAAAAAATTTCGCTGACAAAGATAAGTTTCTAAGTAATTTCTATGGTGCCACTATTAAACACGATATTAGTGAATTATTATTAACACTTTTCTATTACCATATCGACGCTAAAGACAGTCCATTTGGAATGTTTGAATTGCAATATTGCAAAAAACAGTAATTCCGTTCACATTAATACTTGTCTGTCTTGATTATCAATCGATTTTGATTAAAGTCCATGTTAGTTCAATATCGCAGAATGGAAAAGAAGGTGCGTTCTACAGTTATTTTTTTCTGCTACATCGACAATAAATTCAATCAATTTGAACGAAGTAACCGATACTTTTGAGAAAATCATTGCGTCGAATGATTTTCTTTCTGAACACATCGAATCTATTGAACCAACGAGAACTTAAAGATAACTCCAGCAATACCAAACTGTCTCTTGATCGCCATCGTAACTGCAGCGGATTTTAGTTTGTTTAAAAATCATAAATTATCGTAACGGCACTCGCTTCGCCGTGTCGAGGGCACCGCCGCGTTCGCCTAAGCTGCACAATAAGAAAGTAGGATACCAAGAAAAGCTTGATTAAGAGCAACAATACGTCACATCTCGACCCAACGCTCTAGAAACCGCGATTAGAGCTTTCTAGCTCGGAATTAGCGAGGATTAAAGACGCACGCAAACATAGTCGCACTTCGGCTGCTTCGACGCGGAAATGACTGCTACTGCAGCACCCAATACGGCGGCCAGAGGACGGTAGATTCAGTGTTTCGTTATTTATAATTTTCTTTCGTTGTATTTATTATATTATAGATTATAGATGAAGTCTGTCCTATCACCTTCTCGATGTGACGTTAATCCTTAACCGGTAGAGAAGAGTGGCGATTGACGAAAATTTTCCAGATAACAGATAATTAGGCTGCGGGTTTCATGTATTTATGATATAAATTAATAGGTGAAAAACAAAACTGCAAAGGCATTAGAAGAATTTAAGTATATTGTCACATTATTACAATTGTTAAAAGAGGAAAGACATTTTTATCTAATTTTTGTTTCATGCAATAAACGTAGAGAATTTTTATTTTGCACAAAGACCCGCAGTCTAGTAATAATTCTACAGGTTGGGGATTAATCGAACTTTAATCGTTTCTTTCAATTGACTTCGTTCCACGTTTCTTTGCTTTTGTTTCTTTAAGGAGCACAGCTTGAACACAGCGTTCGAACACAAAAAACCTGTACAGCATTCGCATTTATACGTTCGCTAACTTAGTTTCGTCAGTTTCCTGGTAGAGATTCTCCACTACTGTGTGCGCTATTCTTCCTGCCTGTATTTCATAAACACAGCGATTCACAGAGTCGAACATACGAATTGTACAAACGAACTTAAAAAATAATTATTTACTTATACATAAAAATCCTCTCAACGGAGGGATTAATGTCAAATATTTTTAAGTGAAGATTTGTCAGTGAAAAATTCCAACGGTCGCGATCGATTGTTAATATCTTATTATCTGTCTTATCTTATTTATTATCAGCGATTCAATTTGTTTCTGCCTCGACAAATTTTTCCATCGGTATTACAATACTGGGGTGTTCCATAATTATGTTAATACGCGGAAGGGGTGATTCCTGAGGTCATTTGAAGTAACTTTTTCCTTAGCAAGAATGCAATCCGCGGCTTCGTTTGCGAGTTATTCACGAAAAACGCTGACCAATGAGTGGCGAGCTCGGCTGGCGCAAAGCGGTTCCGCTCATTGGCTCGGCCGCCTCGCGGAGGTCTAACTCGCCTCTCATTGGTCAGCGTTTTTCGTTAACAACTCGTAAACGAAACCGCGGATTGCATTTTCGCCAAGGGAAAAGATACTTCAAATGACCTCGGGAATCACCCATTTCCGGCTGTTAAAATAATTATGGAACACCCTGTACAATTATTTATAGTTTCATTGAATTGTGCACCTTCCGTTCAGAATATTCGATTCGAACGAAACTGTGAATCTCAGTGTGTAATCGCAAAATATTGCGAGATTACTTTTCGCTTCATAGGCAACGTGAACTCTCTACTTTCTTTTCCTTTAGTTTCTGCTACATGCACCTGCCTGTTCGTATATAATCTGTGGTCTGAAACAAAGAACAAGCTTGAGAAACAAGAGAAAATGAAAACTAAAACCTCTTTCCCCAAAAAGAGTGGTGCCAGACAAAATTACTAACACGTATTACAGCTTCGATCTATCGCTTTCCGACAGACGACGATGAAGAGGGGCCCACGTTTAAGGACAAACTGTTGGCCGCGGTGCTGCGCTGCATCGATATCTTTTGCGTCTGGGACTGCTGCTGGTTGTGGCTTGAATTTCAAAAATACGTGTCTCTTTTGGTGTTCGATCCATTCGTAGAGCTTTTCATCACCCTTTGTATCGTCGTCAACACACTCTTCATGGCACTGGATCATCACGACATGGACAAGGACATGGAACGGGTGCTCAAGACCGGAAATTACGTAAGCAAACCACCCTCGAACTATTCATCCGAATATTCGTGTGTTCGCGATCTACAAAAAATGTTCAAGAACTTGTAACGAATCAGATGTAACGACGCGGTTTCATTTCATTTTGAATTCTTAGCCACTTCGAATAGATTTTCACGCTATTGGCAACGTCGGCTGCTATATTATAATATGTAATAATATATATTATAATGTGTTATATTATAATTTTTTAATATAAAATTATTTAATATAACTTTAAAATGTAAAATATAAAAGTACAGAGAGCGCACAGTTCATTTAACCCTCGAACGGCGGACCTTTTTGATGAGATATAACTCGGTATACTTAGGATCATTTATCTTTTAATTTATCTATTTTTTTCGACGTATTTTATGGTATTTTTTACGGTATATTCTAGATACGTTAGGCTTTGATGAAACAAGTGAGAAACTTGACATTCGGATATCAATTTTTCCAGTATGGGTCCGAATGGACCCCGAGTCCGTCGTTCGAACGTTAATAAATTAACCAGAAACAAATGGTTCGATAGACTGATCTGAGACATTTGAAATGGAATTTCAGTTCTTCACTGCGACATTCGGTATCGAAGCAACACTGAAGCTAATCGCAATGAGTCCCAAGTCATACTTTCAAGAAGGATGGAATATTTTCGATTTTATCATCGTCGCTCTCTCACTGCTGGAGTTAGGCTTAGAAGGTGTGCAAGGTCTTTCCGTGTTACGATCGTTCAGATTAGTAAGTCACCACTTTCTTAATTAACAATTACAAATCGAATTGGTTTGGAAAGATGTCTACGAGTACGACGCGTGCGATGATAGTTCCGAGTTTCTGGCAACCGTATTTTAAGAGCATTGGGATCTGGTTCAACGAATAGCTGCCACACTTTATTAGACATCTTCTCAAACTCGTCACACTCTACATACTTTTCTACAAACTACTACTTTGCCGTAAAAGCTTTTCCGATGATCGATTCTTAACGCTGCTGTGGTCTCCAGTCCAATTCAACCTGATCCCGCCCTTGAAAGTCGTCGCCGTCCTCGTTTCTCGTGTAACATGTTGGAGGATGAGTCCGGAGATATCAAAATCCTCGAGAAGTTTGGCCGATGCAGCGATCGCAAAAAAAAGCTAAACTCTTCGAAAATTTGAACGGCATTTCCGTCGACCGTGACCATAGCAGCGTTAACCGAATCGCTGTCGAGCGACGTAATCAGCGACGTATTTATTTAAAGAAAATGTTTCTGCCATCTCTTGTCCATTTACTAAGGATAATTCTTCCGCAGCTAAGAGTGTTCAAACTAGCGAAATCGTGGCCTACGTTGAATCTGCTAATCTCCATCATGGGCAGAACAGTGGGCGCGTTGGGTAATCTGACGTTCGTGTTGTGCATCATCATTTTCATATTCGCCGTGATGGGTATGCAACTGTTCGGCAAGAATTACACGGACAACGTGGATCGATTTCCGGACGGCGATCTACCGAGGTGGAATTTCACCGATTTCATGCACTCTTTCATGATCGTTTTTCGCGTGTTGTGCGGAGAATGGATCGAGTCCATGTGGGACTGCATGCTTGTGGGCGATGTCTCTTGCATACCATTCTTCCTGGCCACGGTCGTCATCGGTAATTTGGTTGTAAGTATACGCAAGCAGGGAATGAAGTAATAGACTACGGTATATTTATTAATTATATTCAGATTTCCTCCAAAAATCGTAGGACAAACTTCAACTGAAAATATGTATACACACTTACTTGGCCACACAGGCGTCAAAGTATTCGCCATTCATCGATCGGAACACGAAAACGTCGGTCACAGAAGTCTCCGAACACGCCTACTAACAATAAATTTCAAAAATTTCAGACAAAGATCAAAATCAACATCCTGCGGACGTTGGTTAACACGTTCCGTGCCGAGCTTTTTTTACTCGAATCTTCACACTTTGATATTTTACTAAAACTTGATGTATTACGTGCAATTATTAATTCTCGTACACATAACAACGTAACAAAAACTTATCAATGCCCATTCTTGCGGTGGAAATTGATTCTTCGGTTCTAAATTTCTTGTAAACAATTTGTTCAGTTCACTAAGTAAACATGCAAGCGTGTACCATCGATGGTACACGTGGCACGGAACGTGTTAAAGCCGAATACTGTGTGTCCAAAAAATGTCTCGCAATCCGAAAATGGAGGGTTCCTGAAGTCATTTGAAGGAACTTTTTCCTCAGCGAAAATGCAATCGGCGGCTTTGTTTATGGGTTATTAACGAAAAACAGTAATCAATGATAGGCGAGATCAGCGAGTGCGAGACGGCCGAGCCAATGAGCGGAACTGGGCTTCGTGCGCTCGTTGGCTGGGCCGCCTCGCGCCAGCCGAGCTCGCCTCTCATTGGTCAGCGGGCGCGAGACGGCCGAGCCAATGAGCGGAACTGGGCTTCGTGCGCTCGTTGGCTGGGCCGCCTCGCGCCAGCCGAGCTCGCCTCTCATTGGTCAGCGTTTTTCGTTAATAACTCGTAAACGAAGCCGCCGATTGTATTTTCGCCAAGGAAAAAGTTACTTCAAATGTCCTCAGGAATCCCCCGTTTCCACATTGTGAGACATTTTTGGGATACCCTGAATCTGGAAGATCGCGGATATTTCTTACAAATGTGAATAAAACTTGTCGTCGTAATCAGAATCTATTCAATTTCAATCGATATACGAATTGTGGTTCACAAATGTCCAATTCCTTTGCTTCTTTGTTCCAGATATTCGAACTTTGGTAGGTGAGCATGGAATTCTGTGACCGACGGAGATATACAATGGTTTCAGAGAGTTTCTGGGCGCCGTTTTGTACAGCCGATTGATATTCAAAACTATACGAAGAATCGAGAGCGTTGAAACTTTCTGGAGCCACTCAGCATTCATTACACGAACTTCTGAAACCAATTTCTAAACTTGTACCGGCACGATTTAATTCAGTCATTTGCCAATTCGAGAACATACACTCTTGCAGGATATTCATTCGAATAACGCACTCAACTTTCCGAGCTATTGGAATCATTGCGTGAAAATATTTAGAAGTACATCATCATTGAAACGCATACAGTTTCTTCAGGTCAAGCATTATTAACACTGGAACTGTCATAATCGTGTATCTGAATTTTTCTTTTACAATTCCTGATATCATAAAAATCTTTCTGTGAGATTCTTTTAGTTGATCTTCTTTAATCGAGCACATATTGTAATACAAATAGTACGAAATTTACTTGTCATTGTTACAAAACAATATGCATTAGTTGAGTTCAGAATTCGCGTTAGTTCCAGTGTTAATGAAGAAATACATAATATCGAACACATTTCACTATCTGCTCGAACATTTATTATCTGCATTCACGAAGTGTTCTTTCATTTCATCGTTAGAATTTAGTGTAACATCAATGTTTCGCAAAAAAAGAAGATTTTTTGATTTTCACAGCTCTGGTCATAATTATGTAGTTTTCGAACCCTTTGAAATTCCGTTATAGAGGGGTGAAAAAAAAATGTGAAAAGTCCTGTTACAAGATCAAAAACGTTATTCATTCTAAAGAACGAACAAGAAATTCTGATGTGTGGTCCATCGGTGCTTAAGATGAACATCCTGTATAGAATGAGGTTGCAATGAATGACCTTGAAAAATCATACAATTCGACCAAAATTGTCCGATTTTCGCAACGTCATGATACAACAGTTACCAACACCACAGATTGCATAGCCAACGAGAAAAGAAAAACAAAAATCAAAAAAAAAAAAGAGAAACCAAAAACGAGAAAAGAGAAACTGAAATCCCGAACAGTCCCGAACGATCCCTAAACAGCCAAATCTGTCCTTTGCCAATTATATACCAAGTATATTGAACGAATCAGCCGAGTGGCAGCATTGACACGGAAATTACGAAGGAATGTTTGCGTTGTGTCTGTGACGAAATAGGTGCTGAATCTCTTCTTGGCCTTGTTGCTGAGCAACTTCGGCTCGTCGAATCTTTCGGCGCCGACCGCGGACAACGAAACGAACAAGATCGCAGAGGCGATCAAACGAATATCACGTTTCGTTAATTGGGTCAAGCGAAACGTCTTATTTCTGGCTAAAATGATGCGAGCCAAATTCACCAATCAGATATCCGATCAGGCGCCAGGTGAGGGACCGTCCAACAGTTGGAAAGAAGGTTTATATCCAATCAGATCGCTTGCTGTGTGCGCTGTGTAGTTCGTGGCACTGTTTTCAGTTCTGCTTTTCACTACTTTTTCAAAACTGTTTGTTCTATATTTGCGTTTCCTCGATTACCGTTCCGTTTGATTTTTCTGTCGGTGCCAGTCGACGATCGAGAATCTGTCGCGATCAAGCCGAACCACGACGACGATACAGCGCTCGAAAAGCACCCTAAACTTCGAGAGGCGTTCGCTTCGATGTTTACGTTCTGTTCACGATTTCCACGATCGTTTCACGCGTGCTCCTTTATTTTTTTGGAATTTTTTGTTCCTTTAGCGAGCTAATACGTTGACTGGCATGCTCGATTTTTTTTATGCAAACTTTATGATCGGTTTGCTATTTTATCTTCGTTCACTGGAGAAAGATACCCGCGGGGTCAGCGCGATCGACGACGATCGCGCGAGATGGGCGAGAGTTAAATTTTGCTTCGCTGATTAGCCTGGCAGTTATACGTTGCTTTATCTATTATTTTCGACGTCGAAGGATATGATCGTTTCGAACAATATTCGGCGGTCGTTCGAATTATGTGTAGATTGTTGCGTCGTACATGTGGATTTGCGTTCGAACGTTTTCTGGAAATCTCGCGAGCCTGGCCGCTTCGTCGCGGTGAATTCGCTGACGATTGAAAAGCGAGAAGGAGGCTGCAGTCGAACAGAAATTATAAGATAAATCACCGTCATTTGTTCGCCAGAACTTTTCAACGTGTTCCGCGTCGTGCCAAGTTCTAGGAAAACTCATCGTTTCCTTCTTTCTTTTCATATTTCGTCGCGATCTCAAGCTGAAATATAAAACTATCGAGAAATCCGAAATCGCGACTTACGAATGCATGCTGCGTGCTTAAATCACGTAGCACCGGATATATATGCATCGATTAAATTAAAATCGTAGAATCTTTTCGATATAATTAATGGAACCACTTTTCGCGATCTAATCGATCAAGGGTTCCGTCGTAACGCGCGTTTCTTTAGCAACGCTGTTCCAAGCGTCGATTGTCAGAGTCACATTCCAATGATCCGACAATCGCATCGGAAAAGACGAAGATAATTCTCCGGATGACGATTGGAAGAAAACGCAATCCCATTATGCACCACGCTCAGGCTAGTCGTCTTTGTTTCATTTGTTTTACTGTACACGAGAGAAAAAGAACGAGATTCGCGTCGCGGCGAACGAAAGTTAGTCGTAGATAAGAAAACGAAACTGCATGAGACACGCATAGTTGGAAATTACCGATCGGAGAAACGGGGAACGTCTATCTCTAGCTTCTACAGCTTTATTTTGTTCTTTCTCGATATATTTTCGATGAAAACTTAACAGACAAGCAAGAATATCGGTCACTTAACCGTACTCGGATATATTTTTGAGAAAATGGTCCTGGATAAGGACGGGTTAGAGATTTTCTATGACTGTGCAGATGGAATTGATCGCGACGGGGACCTAGATAAAAAGAGTGCCAAGGAGCTAAACCAACTCGAGGTTGCGATCGGAGATGGAATGGAATTCACAATTCACGGTAAGCGTGTCGAAGAGTCCGGCTAAATATCATCGATGCCATCCATGTAATCAAAGCACAGTCCAGATTTCGATTTCATCGTGTCTCGAACAAATCGTTTCCGTTTCAAGGGAGGAGCCCGGTCTGCCAATCTCGCTAAACCGATTTTTTTTGGCTTTAGTCGAGACCACCGTTTCAGATTTGAGCTCTTAAAACAACGATTTTTAAATCGTTAAAAGCGAGTACAGTAAATTCTCCCTAATTTTCCTTCAGCTTGTATACAAAAGTGGACAATTTGGGAAGAGGAGGTACGATTATTCGAGCCTTGCAGCTCGTTTTTATAATTGTTGACAATCGGCAACTATAAAAATGAGCTGCGAGGCTCGAACGATCGTATCTCCTCTTCTCAAATTGTCTATTTTTGTGCGCAATCTGAGCGCGAATTAGGGAAAAATTTCTGTACAATCTGAGCGTTAATTAGGAAGAATTTACTGTATACGGGGTGGGCCAGAATTCGTAGTACAATCGAAAAGGGGAGGATTCTGCGATGTCATTGAATGCTTCGATATATATATATATATTCTACGATGTCATTGAATGCTTCGATTCCACCATGATATCGACATTAAACATTTGAATTCTGACGTAAAGTTCATTGAAATTAATAATTTCGTTGCTCTTCGTGTTTCTTTTTTAAATTAACATAATAGTCTCTCTATATACATATATTATATACAGGGTGTTCCACAATTATTTTAACAGCCGAAAGTGAGGGGTAGCTGAGGTCATTTGAAGTAACTTTTTCCTTTGCGAAAATGCAATTTGCGGCTTTGTTTACGAGTTATTAATGGAAAACACTGACCAATGAGAGGTGACAGCGCGAAGTTCGAGAGCCCGCAGCACGAGGCTTTGACAGATGGTCGGGACGGACTCGAGCCGCGTTAGAAGTATTGAACAAATCACGAAGCGAGAACTTTCCGGATTTTTTTTTACTACGTAACAGTGATATTTTTAAGAAAAATGCTGTACACCTTTACTTTAGAACGTCTGAAGAATATTTACTTCAAATGACCTCAGCTACCCCTTATTTTTGGCTGTTAAAGTAATTGTGGAACACCCTGTATATATATATATATGCACTGCATATACATATATATATGCACTATATATGCACTGCTCTTGCTTCATAATCCTGCTGAGATTCGTGATTTTCTTTGAATAATTTAAAATTGCGACCAAGACTGATGTCCTATGACTACATCTTTTTTAAAGTAGCATATATAATAGTGTTTATATATATATATGTAAAGACTATTATATGAAGCAAGAGCAGTGACAAGGTTGTCGTAACTCGTTCTATCACATCATTTTCTGTAAAAAAAATTGTTACACGTTCTTTGATTACGAGATGAATGACTCCAGGAGTTTCGAAAAGACTAACTACGTGATTCCTTAGGGAAAAATCGCAAACATCACTTGATTTCTAGCATCCTAAACCGGGCTCCCCCAGCTTGAAATATTCGCATCGATGATTAAATGGAATCGATTTTGATTTTCTCGAAGGAGATGTAGAGAACAAGTTGAGCGGCAGACTGTGCATGAACAACAGCAAAATTATAGGCAACTCGATAAACCACCGAGACTACAGGCTGGACCACGATTACATTAATCAGAACGAGGATGACACGATCAGGTCAGTTCCTTCCGATCGATTATGCTTTTGTTCTTCTCGCAATTGTAAAGTAGCATTCTTCTGACGCGCAATCGTCACAAAAATCCGTAGAAACAGACGGAAACGATGCATGTATGTAGTAATCAGACCTGAGAATTCATTTGTTACTTTGAATGCTGTTATTAGAGAATAAAAATAATATTTTCTCCATTTGTGTGTGAAATAATAGTTATTTAAGAAATAATCCTTAAAATAATATGCAACAAAAAGATTTTATTTTAAGAAATCTTCACAGAAAACAAAATAATCTTATTGTTCAATCTTTTTTAAGAAATATTGTTTCTTAATGTTGGATTTGACGTAATCAAATCGGTCCTTTTATGCTACATAGATGTCATATCAGTATAAGACTCGCAGCTAATAATAATTAGATCACCACTTGATTTCTATGAATTATTCCACAATTATAATATTCCAAATAATGTTATTTCAAAAGTGATCGCTAGATCGTGGATATGCAAACAGCAAAAAAACATCTAACAGTAACACTTAATATTTTAACAGTAAAAAAACATTTAAAAAATTTAAAAATACTATCGTATTATTTCCAACTTAATAAAATAATTTTTCTTGTAATTTGTGCAGGACAATTTTATTTTGCTTAAAAGTCCGCAGTCTGGTGATCATAGGCACAGAAATAATTATAAAATAATTTAACATATACGAAATATTATACCATCTCAAACAATGCCATTCAAATGGGCTCAAATATCGACACAGTGCAAGTTCACATATTTGAAAAACGATTCTTTTCTGTGCGTGTAATAGTATCAAGTCGTACGGCAGCCACAAGAACATGGCGTTCAAAGATGAAAGTCACAAGAGCAGCATGGATTCGTTCGACGGCGAAGAAAAGAAGGACGCTAGCAAGGAAGATCTCGACCAAGACGATGGTATTTAATTCTTTACTTCTCAAAACAGCATTTCATTCTCGTAAACCGATTCTCGCCGGATCTCAGCTAACATTGTGTCGCTCTTTGCAAGAACTTGGGAAAGATGGGGACGAGGACGTTTTAGACGACGTAATTATCCACGCGGACGAGGACCCAATCGAGTCCGACACTCCAGCTGATTGTTGCCCGGAGAATTGTTACAAAAAGTTTCCATTTTTGGCCGGCGACGACGACGCACCGTTCTGGCAGGGTTGGGCCAACTTGAGACTGAAGACCTACCAACTAATCGAGAACAAGTATTTTGAGACTGCCGTCATTTTGATGATTCTTTTGAGTAGTTTGGCTCTCGTGAGTATACATTGCCTCCTTCGCGATTCCTTTTTGCGCTGCGAGCCTGGCAATGAGTTTTTGCGGGTTTTGTGCTCCAAAACTTGACGGTGACTTTGATTTGTAAAAAACTGAAGATCTCCGAAACGATTGATTTGAAGTGCAAAACCTGTATTTAAATTTCGAAACCACAAAACCTGCCGACAAGTAACTTTGATTAGACGTTTTCTCGAACTTCTCGTGATCATTGACACTGGAATTACCGAGCTCTAAACGTAACTAATGTTTAATGTTTTATAACAATGGCTAGATTCGATTTATTCAAACTTCGTACGATTTCTGTTATAACGAATGCTTTGATAAAGAAGTTCATCTAGAAATTTCCCATGAGACAAAAAAACATTTTTATAATATCAAGTACAGTAATGGACAATTTGGGAAGAGGAGATGCGATTATACGAGCCTTGCGGCTCGTTTTTATAGTTACCGATTGTCAACGACTATAAAAACGGGCCCCAAAGCTCGAACAATCGTATCTCCCTTTCCCAAATTGTCCATTTTTGTGCGCAATTCGATTGTAAATTAGGGAATAATTACTGCACTCGAATTAAAAGCTATTTAAACGCCAAATTCTGGACTTTGTTCTTGATAATCAGAAAAATACAATACATCAATTAAAATCGTTGGAATGCACGAAGAAACTACGATCATTCTGTACGTACGTTTCATTTCAAAACTGTTATCAAATTATTAGATGAACTTTCAAATTCTCGTCTCGTTTCTATAGCTGTCGACAATCGATACCTATAAAAACGAGCCGAATAATCGTATCTCCTCTTCCCAAATTGTTCATTTTTGCGCGCAATCTAAGCGCAAATAGGGGAGAAATCACTGTATTCTGAAAGAAAAAATTGGAAACCGGTCGTTTCGACTTGTTCGGTAGGTCCAGTGTTGAGCGACTTCGATGTTTGGCAAAAGAAATGTGGCGGTCGAGTACGTTGTCCGGCTCGAAGCCTTCGATGACATTTAATTTTGTGCTCGAGTACACGGACCATGGTGTATTCTCCGCAGGCCTTGGAAGATGTGCATCTTTCATCACGACCCATTCTGCAAGATATCTTGTATTACATGGACCGAATCTTCACTGTGATTTTCTTCCTCGAAATGTTAATTAAATGGTTGGCTCTCGGCTTCAAAAAGTACTTCACGAACGCTTGGTGCTGGCTTGATTTCGTCATTGTCATGGTGAGTACTGTACACCGGAATGTTCTGTAGCACCTCCTGTATTAGTTATCTAACCAGAATGTGGGTAATACCTTGTACAAACTATATTCAGCTAATAATCAATTACTTGGAATTCAGTAGACAAAGGCAAGCGATTACACACATGACGAGCAGTAGGCTATTAATGAATATTTCTAATGTGATTAAATAATTTGGTTTACACAGCCGCACTTCGTTTTCTCTCCTCAGAGCAAGCTTACAATCCACTCCTCTCGGTTGTCTTCCACAGAGCCGGATCTGTGAGAAAATCTATTTGTTCCTCGACGATGAGAATTCATCGATAAGATTGATTTAGAATTACGCGTTGAATGCTAAAGAGAGAGAGAGAGAAAGAGAGAGAGAGAGAGGAAGAGAGGAGTATTGTAAACTTGTCGCACAACTTTCTTAGAAAGAACCGACTTGTCCTATCTGAACTCTTTAACGCAAGACGTCCGCCATCTTGTGCTCCTCCTCCTTCTAATAACCCGAAAATCTGCCTGAAAAGCGGGAGCGCAGCATGGAAACTTTCAGCGGAGTTCTCTAATAGACTCGTCTACCCGTTAATTCTAATTATCATGGAAATCATCTTCCATCTGATAAATATTTAATGATAATAGCTGTCACTGATCAACTTGGGCGCAATCTGGGCCGGCGCTGCCGACATCTCGGCCTTCCGTTCCATGAGAACACTGAGGGCCTTGAGGCCTTTACGAGCAGTATCACGATGGGAGGGCATGAAAGTAAGTCACATTGGTCGAGGAGAATTAAAAATCGAACAAAGAATATACCATCAGCCTGATCCGGCGATGTGACGACCGTTCATCCGATAGACCAAAACCTAAGTCGACAAATTTTGTTGAAACTTCGGTCATGGTGCTCATGAAATGTTATTCCTCTTTACTAGTACCCCAAACAGATGCTTCTTGCACTAATTGCGAAAAGATTCGTTCGTTTCCTAAAGATTCGTTAGCTTACTTCTTAATTACTATTACTTAATTACTATTCAACACTATATTTACGGAACCCGTCAAAATGGCGGGACATTAATTTTTTAATTTACAATTATTCATATCGTGAAGATACATTTATGAGTTATTTATTCAATTTATACGTTGCTTACGGCAAATGTTACAATAACACTTGTTAAAAATCAGAATAAATGTCTTATCATGTTACTTTCATAAACTAATATAAAACAGCTGTTTTTTATGCTCCGTAAATTCAGTATTAATTACGAGCTTCTTACGTTAATGTGCTCTCCAATCTTACATGTAGAATAAACGAGAAGAGAAAACTTACGAAGGAATCGCAATCCGCATTAAACTGTAACAACAAAAGATGTGGCTAAACATATGCGAAAAAAAAAGTAGGAAGTTTCTATTAGACCCAAATGTCTAGCAGCGATTGTCAAAATAGGATCTTTGCAACCTCCGTTTTGATTTTGAGGCAGATATTCGAAGCTGCAGAACTTCCGATACCGATCGGACAGAAAAGCAACGTTCCATGAGCAACGATTTGTTGACACGATCGTGAAAAGTATGTTGATTGGTCGGCGATCCGTCACATTTGCCGTTGGGTTCTGTTAACAGTCGATCCGTAAAAAGGAACTAAGTGCAATGTATATGAAAAAGGGACGTAAACAAAACCGAGGATAAATGACGAAATGTGAAAAAAGATCGCTACAGTGATTGTAGCCTGTTCTATGCTTTCCAGTGTGCAGAGGTACACTGGCGTTTCTACTCGATGTCTGCACTGATATCTTGGAATTTTTGTCGTACTAGCTATTGTCTATGTACGCCTCTCCTAACAATCTTTTTTGGCACAGTGATCGTTGTGCAACGTATACTGTATTTATATACATATACAAACTATATATATATTATATATGTATGTATATATACATATATTGACTATATATATATATATATGTATGTATATATGTATATATATGTATACATATATATATATATATAAATAAAAATGCTTTGTGTGTAATGTTACTGATCTTCCTTGTGTGTACTACGTACGTCTACGCGATACATTGTAAAATGTTTACCAGGATCTTGGTTGATCGCATCGCGATGCACGGTCACATTTCTCGAAATTTTCATTTCGTATCAATTATTACCAATATGATTGGTAATGAAACCTATAGAAAATTATTCCTCGACATCTTGCGACGTATTCGTCGATGAAAAATGACGAGTTTCGAGACGGTGTGGCTTATTTTCCAAGTAACGAAATTTACATTGAAATTGTTCGTATCTTTTCGATTTCGAAAGAAATCGTTATTTCGTTCGATATTAATTGAACAATTTGAGAAATCGTGCGTCGCGACCGCAAGTATGACGAACATTTTCATCTGTTTCAGGACGAAGCCGACTATCATGCTCGTAATTGATAATGATTCTTGTCAAGCCGTACAGCTCTCTGCCTTGACGACTGAACACGCCTGTTTGCGTATAATTAGAAAAGAGGCGGGATTAGGGCGATCCTCTGTGTCTAACCAAATTGTGTGCCCATTCGTAAATCATCGATTCGATATCGTTCGATCTGTTTTCAAAGGGGTACATGCTCCGTTAGACTGATTCGCTTCGCTATATCCCTAAGCTAAGGAAGAACATACATTTTCACGAACGAACTTAGCCCCTTTTGACTCACGATTATCGACAGCATTTCCATTAAGATTACTGATTAAGCGGATCTAACAGGAAGAACTTACTAAGAATTGCTCGATTAGTATATCATCGAGCATATTCGGCTTTTGGATGAGCATAATTCTACGCAAACAAGCGTCCAGTCAGAAACAGTCGGAGAGAAAGATATCTGTGCACTGCTAATTTTAACTTTCTAAAATTGTAAGATTCGAAAGCATTGATTGGGCCACTTGCTGATATTACTAATTAATTGTTTCAACTATTAATAAATTGTTTCTACTACTAGACATTGTGATGTCTAAAAGGTTGTGCACGAATACATTTCTCTTCGACTGTACATCTCTGTTCATTGTTAACCGCTACGTGTGCCATTATCTGGTTTCTATCTGTGTCTTCAACCCCCTGCTCTGGATATTTGTTGTACCGTATCTACGAACGTGTATATACACTATATAAATGGAAATCTAAGCTCTCCACAGATAGGACGGCCGCCTGTGTGTGATAAATGCCGCTTCGATATGAGAATCCTCGAATCCATCGAACACGAGATCAAAACGAAGTGACATATCTACGTTCTTTTTCTTTACTCTTTCTTTCTCTCTCTTACTCTCTTTCTACCCTCCTTTACTCCTCTTCTCTCTCTCTCTCTCTCTCTCTCTCTCTCTTTCTCTTCCTACTGTATTTTTCTTTTCTCTTTCTCTCTTTTCTCTTTCTTCTCTCTCTCTCTTGCTTTCTTTCCCTCTGTCACCTATTCTGGCCCCCAGTTCTCTCGCAACTCCAGAGTTTGGAAACGATGAAAAATCGTTTTTATTTTTCTTTATTTTTTTTTTGTCTTATATGTAGCCTGTCTACCTGTTGCTGTGATTCGCTCTCGTTTCTCGCTCGCAGGTGTCACTCATTAACTTCGTAGCGTCGCTCTGTGGCGCTGGCGGGATCCAAGCCTTCAAAACAATGAGGACCCTAAGGGCCCTAAGGCCACTCAGGGCGATGTCTAGAATGCAGGGAATGCGGGTATGTAGCCCACAGTCTCAGCGGACCTTGCCGATTACTCCATGTATCCCATCCGGATCAGTTATTACTTTTAGAATAGGAGTCTGTTTGGACGAATCGACAGCCAGAGTTGGGCATTAGACGCGATCCATTCCAAATTCTTGATAATCGCGGTCGTGTTTCTTTCTCTCGATTACACGCGAGCTACACTTTGACGCCATTGTTAACACCTGGACTGCCAGATTAAATGGAGGCAATGCGCGGTGTACCGAAAAGTGGCTGCTAGCTGGACAAAATGATTCTCGAAAGACTTTACTTTTTTTTTTTTAATATTTTGTTTGATATTATTGAAATCAATTCGGGACTCTCATTACCCAAAAAATTGATCTGAATCAAACCTGGGTAAAAATATTTCAAGTAAGAAATAGAAATATTTGTGCAAATACTGTTTTTTTTCAACTGTGTTACATGTGCTTAATTTTAAAAACAGTAATTTATTTCTGTATTAAAAGAAATACCAGTTGAACTATTTAATGGATTTTACAAACACATAATAAGCATTTAAAAAATATATTTTACAATGTGAAATATTTAATTGAAATAAATATTTTCTTTAATGAAACATTTGGATATTATTTCCATAAAACAAAACAGGTTTCAATTGCATTCATTGATTAAGAGAAATATAAGAAAAAGCTTAGGTTTATTTACTCTCATTAATATTAATCGTAAGAGATAAAATTTCAAATAATTAATAGAAATTTTGGGCACATGAAATATTATTTCAAATATAATTATATCTTCAGTATATCTTAAGAGAAAATAATATTCCGATAAATAATTTTCTTTATCACAACATAAATAACTATTTTCAATGCATGCAATTATCTCTATGTCGTCGAACAAACCTTGAAATATTATTTCATACAAACAAGAGTTTTTCATTAACTATTACCAATACTTTTACAAATATTTATACCCAGGTCCGTTCAAAGTTCAAGCGTGTCCAATTAGCATACACTATTCGAAATACTGTGCACTCCCTCCGTTTTAAGAAAAATTCGATCTTCTGCTAAGAAACGAGGTGCTCTAGGCACATTGAGTTTATTGAACCTCGATAAATTAATTGTTCGACAAAATAACTTCATAAAGTTATTAAGTCGGTTAAGATACAGGTAATATGGTAATCAATGCGTTGAAGGTGCGTGCACGTGTCCGTATGAGTACAGATAATACCATAACAGTGTCACGAATTTGAAGAATCGCGTGAAAATTTGTGCAGCGGAGAATGAACAAAAATTTCAATGTCGGTTAAGCAATCGCTGAACGGTATAATTAATTACATGGACGTCCAACTTTGTCGATAATCGTTCGGTTCGTTCACATGTTTTCAATTTAGACTGTTTCGGTGCCGTCGGCCAATACGGCGGAACCGTTTTTTTCTATTTTCCGTCGCGAGACTCGACAAAGAGGCCGATAGGAACCAGTGACAGTGAAACTCTGATCACCACTCTTTTTTTCTCGATCGTGAAACATGTGTTCTGTATCGTATATCACGGAGAAACAGTGATTTTGTTCTACCAGAAACAAAGGACATTTTGTGAATGAAAAAATTAAACGCAGCCAGCGATTAGAATTCGGACAATGCTATTCGTCGGCCTCGCGGTGTCAGAGACTCGGCAGAATCTCCTTTTGCACGTAAACATGCGTAGGAAAATCGCGAATGCACTTGAGCTTAAAACTGCGAATGTTTGATCGGCACGTAGACTTGTTCTTCGCGAACAATTTTTGCGAAATATGCACTTTAGAGGATACACGTACACTGTTGTCCGTAAGTTCGAGGTCACCGCCTGCCATTCAAGTCATAGCGTCCTACGATCCGTAATACATTCACGAAATACAAAATCGAACTTCTCGATTTCCACACAGTGCACTCGATCAGACGAAAGGATGAATTCTTTTGCTGTAACCTTATTTTTCTAGTTCAATTTTCATTCTGTCAACACGCGTTTCAAAAACTGATTTATCACTTTGTCACTCTTCATAACAAGAGACTTAAGACGAAAGAAGGTAGAAGTACAGTAAATTCTCTCCGATTGTCCCTCAGCTTGTAAACAGAAATGTACAGGAGATAGGATTATTCGAGTCTCGCAGCTTGTTCTTATAGTTGTTGATACTCGGCGACTATGAAAACCAGCCGCGAAGCTCGAATAATCGTGTCTTCTCTTCCCAAATTGTCCATTTCTGTTTATAAGCTGAGAAATTCACTGTATTTAATAATTGCGGATCTTTATTGATATGTATAGACTGGAAAAAGCAAAAGTGAAACAGAAAAAATTTGTTCCTCCTTTAATAATCTCATTTGAAAATAATATATAGCTATTCTTGAGTACTTCTAGTCTTTCTGTGGTTTTAAATTGTCGACGCTCATTTTTGTGTATTAAATCCGCGGTCTATTTTAATACTTAGATATGTCTTTTTAATGTCTTAACTTTTTAATCCAGTAAATTCAAAATTTTCAGTATAGTTTACAGCAGNCTGAACGGTATAATTAATTACATGGACGTCCAACTTTGTCGATAATCGTTCGGTTCGTTCACATGTTTTCAATTTAGACTGTTTCGGTGCCGTCGGCCAATACGGCGGAACCGTTTTTTTCTATTTTCCGTCGCGAGACTCGACAAAGAGGCCGATAGGAACCAGTGACAGTGAAACTCTGATCACCACTCTTTTTTTCTCGATCGTGAAACATGTGTTCTGTATCGTATATCACGGAGAAACAGTGATTTTGTTCTACCAGAAACAAAGGACATTTTGTGAATGAAAAAATTAAACGCAGCCAGCGATTAGAATTCGGACAATGCTATTCGTCGGCCTCGCGGTGTCAGAGACTCGGCAGAATCTCCTTTTGCACGTAAACATGCGTAGGAAAATCGCGAATGCACTTGAGCTTAAAACTGCGAATGTTTGATCGGCACGTAGACTTGTTCTTCGCGAACAATTTTTGCGAAATATGCACTTTAGAGGATACACGTACACTGTTGTCCGTAAGTTCGAGGTCACCGCCTGCCATTCAAGTCATAGCGTCCTACGATCCGTAATACATTCACGAAATACAAAATCGAACTTCTCGATTTCCACACAGTGCACTCGATCAGACGAAAGGATGAATTCTTTTGCTGTAACCTTATTTTTCTAGTTCAATTTTCATTCTGTCAACACGCGTTTCAAAAACTGATTTATCACTTTGTCACTCTTCATAACAAGAGACTTAAGACGAAAGAAGGTAGAAGTACAGTAAATTCTCTCCGATTGTCCCTCAGCTTGTAAACAGAAATGTACAGGAGATAGGATTATTCGAGTCTCGCAGCTTGTTCTTATAGTTGTTGATACTCGGCGACTATGAAAACCAGCCGCGAAGCTCGAATAATCGTGTCTTCTCTTCCCAAATTGTCCATTTCTGTTTATAAGCTGAGAAATTCACTGTATTTAATAATTGCGGATCTTTATTGATATGTATAGACTGGAAAAAGCAAAAGTGAAACAGAAAAAATTTGTTCCTCCTTTAATAATCTCATTTGAAAATAATATATAGCTATTCTTGAGTACTTCTAGTCTTTCTGTGGTTTTAAATTGTCGACGCTCATTTTTGTGTATTAAATCCGCGGTCTATTTTAATACTTAGATATGTCTTTTTAATGTCTTAACTTTTTAATCCAGTAAATTCAAAATTTTCAGTATAGTTTACAGCAGGGCTCGGAATTAACCAGCACGCAACATGAGGATCGCGAGGGCTACGCTACCTGAGTCACGTCGCGCGTCTCGCTCCCCGATGAGACTCCAACACGCACACACACATAGAAAGAAACAGGCACACGCGTCTGAGATGCTGCGAGCCGAGAACGGTGACCACGGGGAACGAGACGCGCGACGGGAATCAGGCGGCGTGGCCCGCGCGGCGCAAATGTTGCGTGCACTGTCGTTCCGAGCCCTGGTTTACAGCAATATAAATACAGTAAATTCTTCCCAATGGGGACGCTCAGATTATACACTAAAATGGACAATTTGGAAAGAGGAGATACGATTATTCGGGTCTTCGAGTTTCGTTTTTATAGTTGTTGACAATCGATGACTATAAATAAATCGTAAATAAATCGTATCTCCTCTTCCCAGATTGTCCATTTCTGTGTGTGTAAGCTCAGCGACAACTGGAGAGAATTTACTGTACTATGCTAGAATAAAATGGGAGAACCGTTCGTTGAGTTAAGAAGGAAATGACGGAATTTGGTAACGTGACGGCCTGACTGCGGATTTTCTGCATTTACCATAAAAATGGGTAAGAAGAGATTAAATCAGTAGGAAAATTAAAGGAAATTAAGAATCTGCATGTATCGCATTCAATTTGTCGAAATTATCAACCAGAAAAAGGAATTTATGTGTATATGTCTTCTACGTTCTGTAATTAACAGAGACAATTCTTGTTTTGCATAAATATGCAAATATATATTATAATATAAGTCTAACGATGACGAATCATTTCCGGTTAAATCGTTAACGAATACAGGTAGATTGTTTGGATTGGTTTGTATTCGGTAAAAAAAGTTGTCGGGTTAAACGTGAATTATTTTGATTTTTATCGAATTCCAGTTGAGAAGAATTTCCTGTTGAAAACTGTAACACATCCTAGAAAATTGTAGACGAACGCGTGACCCCAAACTTATGGATAAGTAGTACTTAGATACTACCTCAATCTTTGGATATAACGTGCCTTTTACTCCAGATACAGCCTAGATACATATCAATACACGTACCTACATACATTTTAGTAACTCGTCATTTGTTACAGCCCCGCGATGGGTTTATTAACAGTTTGTGTCTCATTTACAGACTTAATAAATTGACTCGACATTACTGTAATTACAAGGTCGCTGAGATACTGGGCGTAGCGTTATTGTCATGCCCACACCCTGACACTATCTCATCCTGTCTATATTATAGTTCGATGCTACTGACTTTCAGCAACTGTCGATGTGTTTTGAATGGGTTTTTCTTTTGGTTTTTCGTTTCCTTGCATGAGTACGTTATTCTATTGGAGCTGTCATGGCCGCGGCCCACCTTTGCATTTTGTTTCGATGTTCGCTTGGTGTGCTGCTACGTCTCCTACTATCTTTTTTTCTTTCTGTTTCTTTTCCGTTAGTTTCGTTTTCTGTACAAACATTTTGCATGCGTCGTGCCCCGCGATGCAATATATCTCTGTAACACCCACGTCACATCGATCAACGATCTAGGCGAACATGTACATTATCTCGTTTACTCTTCATTTTCGTTCTCTTTGATTTCCTTCATATCGAACATTCGTGAAGAAGAACTCTCAAGTTGTCCGACGCAGTTCGCAATATCGTTTCGACGTACAATAATTTCTTCCTAATTAACGCTCGGGCATCGTACACAGAAATGGACAATTTGGGAAGAGGAAATACGTTATAGTTATATATTAATTATAACTATATATAAAATTAATAGTAGTATTGAATTGATATATATAAATACATTTAATATAAGATTAATAATAATATTAACTATAGTTACAACAATTAGGAAAACGAGACGCAAGGCTCGAATAAACGCATCTCCTTTTTCCAAATTGCCCATTTTTGTGCGTAACCTGAGCGCGAATTAGGTAAAAAAAAAAAATTAGCTAAATTACTGTACTTGTATATTCTTGTTCGAACTACGATTGTCAGAAACTGAACAAAATTCGCAGATGTAAGTATACGAAATTTGCCTCTCTCGGTTCGCTTTCTTCTATCGCAATACTTTTTATCCAGTCAGAGGAAGATCAAAGAAGTTCAAACGTTCTTATTATTCTATTTTCTGATTCGACCTTTTGTAATTTACGTCGCAGTGGAAAACCGGAAATATGTCCTACAACCGGAACGATAATTAACAACGTCGTTTTTATGTCCCATTGGACGCCGATATTTCCAGTTTGTTCGTTCGACGTTATTGTTTTTTATCTCTTTCTTTTTTTTTCATTTTCTCGGGAAACAGAAGGATTTGAAATTTACATTGCACATACGATGATGCGTACACATAGCGTAGTCACATAGAGACGCATATAGCCGCATATAAACGCATACCTAAACGCATAGAAAAATAAATGAGACAGAATTTCCACGGCTGGGGAACGCCTGCAGACTCTAACGACACGTCTGGTTTCACAGGTAGTCGTCAACGCCTTGGTTCAAGCCATTCCATCCATTTTCAACGTGTTACTGGTGTGTCTTATCTTCTGGCTGATCTTCGCCATTATGGGTGTACAACTTTTCGCCGGCAAATATTACAAGGTTCGTTAATGGCTTCCTAAACGTTTTATTCTATTGTGCAGCGATAAGGAAGCGAGTTCCACTTTTTACACTGTTTTATAATTATATATCCGATATCGGTATAAAAAAACGAATTGTTTACTTTGCGATCTACTTTGGTACAAAAAGATGGCAACTTGAGTATTTAAATTTAATTGATAACTAAAATACTTTTTTTAAATGTTGCTATTATGTACTTGGAACGACAACAAAAATAAAAAATTCGTTCTTTAATTTCTTTATCTTTTTTAAATTCTGCTATTACTTGGAATGACAAAAAAAAATAAAAAAACTTTCATTCTTTAACTTTTTTATCTGAGCCTATAACGGAAATTGAAAAAGTGCCGCTCGTAGATCTCGGTGACTTATAAAACTGAAAATTTTATCAAAATCGGTCGATGTTGTTGAGTTACAACAAATTAAAGATGGCAGAAATCGCAGTTTTATCATTATTTTGACCAAAAAAAGAAGTCTGCAGTTTTTTAAATCCTTCAATGCCTGTAGCTCGACACTGGGTTAACCAATTTCGATAAAATTTTCAGCACGCATATAAGTTACCCAAATCTACGAGAGGAATTTTTTTAATTTTTGTTATAGGCTCAGATAAGAAAGTTAAAAATCCAGAGTCTTTTATTCTTTTTTGTCATTCCAAGTAATAGCACAAATTAAAAAAAAAACATTTTAATCATCGTCTGGTGGACTAGTCCCTCTAATATCTAAAAAATTCAAGTTATTTAGTTTTAAAAAAGTTATTGCATCTTAAAGAATGTACGAACACTTTTGTGAGCCACTGTAGGTTTCATAATCAATTTAGTCCCTATCTGCTGGTTTACTTGAATCGCTCAAAAGTGGCACTACTTCCTTATTGCAGCAACTGCCTTAATCATCTTCAACATCGACAAGGCTGCAAAGATCAAAAGAATCTGACAAAATGTCATTATTATTTTTGCAGTGTGTAGACGTAAATAAAACAACGTTGAGCTTCGAGATCATTCCCGATCGAAATGCCTGTATAGCCGAGAACTACACTTGGGAAAATTCTCCGATGAACTTCGATCATGTGGGAAAAGCGTACCTGTGCTTGTTTCAAGTGGCCACGTTCAAGGGATGGATTCAAATCATGAACGACGCTATCGATTCTAGGGAGGTAAAGACCATCGACACGAAATTTGGTCAACCCTCGCATGACACACTGTGAAAATTATAATTAGGTTACTGTTCCGTCCCGGAAGTATTAATTTGAAAAGTAGAAAATTCGGGAAGAACAAGATATATTAAAACCAAAACTCGCGAATAAGAAAATCGAGAATATTAAAAATAACTCGAATATTTGTTGAGCAATGTGATTGTCGGAATGATGCAATTAAATTGATATCATTTAAGTTATTTATACATCGGTTATGCTACTTAACACTAGCTTTATGGGGCGCTCATCTTAAAATAACAGAAATATATTTGTGCAGAGTTTTAGTGATTGCAATATATGACCAAAGAAAACAATTTATTAAATCATATCTTCATAAATGTATGTTTACAATCTCAACAATCATAAGTTAAATAATTTAGATATGTTATGCCAACGTAACGTTAAGCCTAGAGCCACCCTGTTAATAGCGGCGGGAATATTTGGGAAATATTTGCGTCATGCGAGGGTCATTCCTCGCTGCAACTCCATCCTCACCGGTCTGTTCTCATTAATTCGCAGCTCAACAAACAACCAATCCGTGAAACGAACATCTACATGTATTTCTATTTTGTATTCTTCATTATATTCGGATCGTTTTTTACCCTTAATCTATTCATTGGAGTTATCATCGACAACTTTAACGAGCAGAAGAAAAAAGCCGGAGGGTCTCTTGAGATGTTCATGACGGAAGACCAGAAGAAATATTACAACGCCATGAAGAAAATGGGCAGCAAAAAGCCACTGAAAGCTATTCCACGCCCGAGAGTAAGCGCGAAACACAAATTAATATCAATTCGAATGTGCCTTTTTACAAATAATACTTAATTAATCGTGATATTCTTCTTTGTTCCAGTGGAGACCGCAAGCGATAGTGTTTGAAATAGTGACGGACAAAAAATTCGATATGATAATCATGTTGTTTATCGGATTGAACATGTTGACGATGACGTTGGACCATTATCAACAGACCCAGACTTTCAGCGATGTTCTAGACTATCTGAACATGATATTCATTGTGATATTCACCAGCGAGTGTCTCATGAAGATCTTCGCACTGCGTTACCACTATTTCAAGGAGCCGTGGAACCTCTTTGATTTTGTTGTTGTTATATTGTCAATATTAGGTAATGTAATGTAATGACTAGTTCAGTCGTATGGCCCAAGTGAAATTGATTAACGTTGACGAGAAAAGAATCCTGTTAGCTTTTTCAACATTACACGAATCTTTCTTGTTCTACTACTTCTCTCACATCTCTGTCCATTACTGCAATTAGAAGCTTGGGATAGATTTAACGAGCATGTCATTTCGCATTTTAGTCTGATCTTCATCATGCACGCAATACAGTTTGTACTCTTCGATAACAAAAATAAAAAGCGGACAGGTTCGATATTTCACGTGTGCCGAAACGACTGATCAGCGTCATTACGTTACGTAGCCTTACATTGATGTCGTATTGTACCCTTATATCCTCTGACCTCCCCATGGTTCCCTGTCCAGAATAATTTACATACAAATTCGTTGCCGAATCGTTCGATACAACGTTACGTTGACAACATAATAATTAAAAAGTGAACGTTTCGTTCGATCACTCGTCATTAACATCTCTTAGTTCGATTTGAAATATTTATAATAGCCAACTAAAATGTCAAATTTTGATGTAACGTTGTGTCCGACTCGATTCGCATATGTTAATTGATGTAAAGACGATCATTAGTCGAAACATCGGGTAAGAGCGGGTCTGTATTACAAAGGTTTTCCTATACATTTTTCTAATCAACAAATTAGAGTCTCTTGATAGAAAGGAGAAATCTAGTAGTGCGACACATTCTGAGACACACTGAGAATGACGCCTGACACAAAACAGCGCAACATACATGTCTCGTAGAGCACCGCGGTTCATTCAACAAACGATCGGGCTTTTGATCAGATTTCGATGCATGTTGTCTTTTATCTCACAGAGACACGGCGATTAGAGATTAGAGGTTGCAAACAAAAGGATCTTAGCGCCGACAATGCATGTACAATCTGTCTCCTCGATGAAACGGCGAAGTTCCTGCACCAGAATCTTCGATGATCGTTCGTAGAGTGATTGATCGAATTAGAACAGACATTAGCGCAGTCTTGCTTACACTTCTAGGAAATTGAGAATGCACCGTATCGTTTCAATCTATTTCTCCTTCGATGTACGAATCCGATTCTAGGCTAGCTGGAATCGTAGATTGTCCTCTGACACTTGCAAGAACCATCCTATTCCGACCGAACTGCATGACTACTTTGGATGAACATCCATTAACATAGTTGAGCACCTTATCACCTAAAAACAAAAACAGCACACAGTTTCACCTCCTTTCTGACTTCCATTAGAGAATTAGCGACAAACGTGACGCACGTCACGATATCATCGTGCTAACGCCACCCGTGTTTTCTTCAGGTCTGGTACTCAGCGACATCATCGAGAAATACTTTGTGTCGCCAACGTTGCTTCGTGTAGTAAGAGTGGCGAAAGTCGGTCGTGTGCTTCGACTCGTGAAAGGTGCTAAGGGTATTCGAACACTTCTCTTCGCCCTAGCGATGTCGTTACCAGCCCTCTTCAACATTTGCCTATTACTATTTTTGGTGATGTTTATCTTCGCGATCTTCGGAATGTCTTTCTTCATGCACGTCAAGGATAAGAGTGGGCTGGACGATGTGTACAATTTTAAAACGTTTGGACAGTCGATGATATTGCTATTCCAGGTAAGACACCAACTATCTTCGACGAATACAGTACTCTCTGCCAATGGTTCGGCACGCGAGATCAAAAGGGGTTGAGAATATTTCCACGAAGTCAAACGCCCCTATCGATTCCTCCAAAAATCAACGATAAAAACAATAAAAAGCAATAGAAACGAACGACGAACGGTCGCCTTCTTATACATTATTTTTCTCTATAAGAAAAGATCTGTAGCTTTTTTGGTACGGTTCAGTATTTTCTAGTTCGAACTAATCGAAAGGCGAACCGTTTGAAAGCGAACTTTTCGAGAACGAACCGTTCAAAGGCGAACCATGGGGAGAGAGTACAGTAGTCTCGTTTTCGAAAGAAGTAGGAGAGAGGTGCTATGAGTTAGAAACATTCATGCGTATGCATTTGCAACTAGTTACAAAGCGTTATAGTATCAAGCATGGCAGACACGCGGTTGAATTTGTTCGACGGTGAAAGTAAAGCATTTGGTAAGTTTTCGAAACGTTTCTCGAGTTGTTATACGTAGTGACTAATTTAATAGTACTTGTTGTGAATCTAAGCTGTTATCTTGAATATCGTTTTTAACTTTGTTCGACTCGAGTTCGATGAAACAAAGACCGCGTTAGAGCAAATATAATAGAAGATAACGTGACACAAACGAGATTAACATAGAAAGAAAATTCGATACGATCAATTGCGAGATATTCGATTGAACCGAAATTACGTTTATAATTAACTAGACTAGAAATGCCGCGTTATATAGTCCCGGCGTGTTCATTTTAAGAATCATAATGCTTGAAAATTAGTATTAGAGCTTGCAAATCCATTTAGATGGATCACTGAAGATAGTGTTTTAGAAGCTTCACTATTTAATTAAATGACAATTGTGAAGAAATTGTGCTAATATTATTGTTGTTTATGACACTGTTGCATCGATAAATGTCAATGTCTCTTTCAATAGCAGCAATTTACAAAAGGGACAATATACATTGTTTAAGATGTGTCGTGAGAAAATCACACGTAAGTGTAGAGGAAATAGGTCGACGGTACCACGTATATAAACGGTGCGTCTATTCAACGGTATATATATAACGAGAGTAGATGTAGAATGATCTCTTTTAGTCTCTTTCTCTATCGTGTTCGATGAACGAAAAAAAGTGTTCCTTCCATGCCACCTCTCCCCTAGTCTGAGATAGCGAAGTAAGCAGCTGTACCACAAACAGTCTAAGGAGTTTCGAATAATAGAAAAACGAAGGGTACGAAACTAAATACATACATACGAATTTCCGATTGAATGAGCCTAAGAGTTCATTGAAAAACGTTCGATCTGATTAAGTAAGGCTCGTATGACAGATTGAAACTCTTAGGAAACGATGATCGTTTCTCCGGATACAGTGCTGCTTACTATGTTAAGCGATGCTGTTACGTGACAAATTGAAAACTAATTCCAGTCGTTGTACTGGGAATAACGAGAAACATTTCTGTGTTCCGGAAGATGTCGACGTCTGCCGGTTGGGACGGCGTGCTCGATGGTATAATAAACGAGGAGGACTGCCAAGAGCCAAACAACGAGATAGGCTATCCTGGCAATTGTGGCTCGTCGACGATTGGTATCGCTTATCTTCTCTCGTACCTGGTGATTAGCTTTCTGATCGTGATCAACATGTACATCGCGGTGATCCTCGAGAACTACTCGCAGGCGACCGAAGACGTGCAGGAGGGTCTGACGGACGACGACTACGATATGTATTACGAGATCTGGCAGCAGTTCGACCCGGACGGCACCCAGTACATCAGATACGACCAGTTGTCAGACTTCCTGGACGTGCTAGAGCCGCCATTGCAGATACACAAACCAAACAAATATAAGATCGTGTCCATGGACATACCGATCTGTAAAGGCGATCTGATGTTCTGCGTGGACATCCTGGACGCGCTGACAAAAGACTTTTTCGCGCGTAAGGGTAATCCGATCGAAGAGACCGGCGATATCGAGGTGCAGACACGTCCAGGCGAGACCGGTTACGAGCCGGTCAGCTCGACCCTCTGGCGTCAGCGGGAGGAGTATTGCGCGCGTTTGATACAGAACGCTTGGCGAAAGCACAAACAGCAACGTCTCGGCGGACCGAGCGAAGAGAGCGACGACGCGGACACGGATCCGCCCGTCAGGCAGACGGCGGTGCACGTCGAAAGCGACGGATTCGTGACGACGGTGGTGATACACGGCCGCTCGCCGAGCGTCACATCGAGGACCGCGGACGTCTGATCGGCGACGTTGACGTCTCCAGCACCGCCACCGTCGTAGCCAACAGCGTCGTAGCCACCGCGTCGCCGAGCCGCTCGGTCGCTCTTATCGAGCACGAGCTTCTAGACGCCGAGACAGCCGTTCGACGAAACGACGATGACGACGACAACAACAATGACGACAACAACAACAGACCGCGACGACCACGACGACGCACGCATCGCTCTCGGGGAGCAGCGGCCTCACGGACCTCTCTCGCGCGCGCGCTCTCCATCGACAGCCTTATAGTTGTATAAACAAACAAACAAAGAAAAAAAAAAATAATACTACATTCCTCCAACGAGTTGCCTTTAATCGACTCTGAAACGCGCCACGATCGTCGGGAGATTCACACGTCGCTAGCTGGAACGAGGCGAGGACGAGGACGAGACCGAGTGCTCGAAGGGAGCTGTTCGAACGATAGAAGACTGCGCCGCGTGTTAGAACCGCGTCGACACATTATAATATGTACATCACATCCGCTCCGAATCTCTCTCTGTTTGCTCGCGGTGACCGGGAACAACGCGTGTAGCAGACGCGTCATCCACGCTCGGCCAAGTCAGTTTCTAGAAAAAGTGTTCTTGCGGCAAAACGACAGGGGCGAACATACGAAGAGGAATCGAAGGCCAAGGACATATGGATAATATGCTTTTCACGATCCAGCTATGTACCGCCACCTTTATATAGTCTAGAGATCATGGAGTCACGATCCTCCCCGTGGAACGCGAACCCCGAGTCAACTTCCCCAAATATAACAAAAGGCTCGTGGGTTCGCGCGATGGGTCTGGTGGACGCCAATCTCGGCACGGAACGCACCTTGCCTTCGATGGACTTCGTAAACGGCGCTCGACTTACGTTTAACCATTGTACAATGACGATTCGCGCTGGCTGCGTTAACCAAAGCACGTAGTTTATGCGGATGGAGGCGTGATCATCGGACGGATTCGCGTTCTCGCGAGACTACGAACACGATGACGGAACGACGACGACGATCAGACGAAGATCAGACGAAGATCGGACGAAGACCCGATACACGTTCAGCTCGTTGAAATATGTAATAGTAATAACGAATACGCCGCATTCTCTCCCAATCCCCCCCCCCCCCCCCCCCCCCCCCCCCCCCCCAAAAC